ATCAAATCATCATGTTGTACACCTTAAACTTACACATGTTATATGTTATTATATCTCAACAAAGCTAGAATAAATTTAACGTTTAATATTAATTATTTCCATTGTTAAAATCCCTTTGGCTCTCCCTTATACTGAGACAGTCTCACTAGTTTTGAGAAATGTCCCTGCCTCCATTCACATTTGTGTACCATTTCCTTGTCTTTACTCCTATGCCATGTCTCTAACATCATTCCCAAGGATAAAAGAAAAAAAAAATTAATTAATTTGTAGGCAGAGTTTTTGCTTCTTCACTTTCTCCTCAAACCTAACCTTTCTATATTCATAAAAATACCAGCTAATCAAGAGACTTCTACAACAGAGCTCCAGGCCATGTCTTCTGCTCAAAGGAGGAATAGAAACTCTGGATTCGTAGTTTTTCTTTTTCATGATAAAATTCTTGGATGTGGTCCCTTCTTCATCAGTCTCTGTAAGAATTATATAGAATTATCTTCCTCAGGATAGGAATTATTCAATTTCCCTTGGAAGAGAAAAATGGGTGCAGTCACTTTGCGTTTGAAAAAAAAGCGCAATAATTTCTGTTCAACTGTAGCTTGGCACACTAGTTTGTCTCCTAGGGGTTGGTTTGATAGGCATGATCATTGAGAGAAGAACTTTATGGGGAGGACTGCTTTCATAACCTGATTTAAGCAGCTTACTTACCATGTGGGAAGTTCTTTGAGTCACCCTTAATAATGTCCACTGGATTAAAAAATTCATTCATCATGTAAAATTATTAGAATGAGTTAATCTATCTGAGGCACAGTTCTGATCATGCCACTTCCCTGTCCAAATTCAAAACAAAACAAAATAACAGCCATGAAAAGGTAATATAGTGATAATGCAATCTCAAAATGGACAAGTCCTATCCATTTTCCTCCTTTCTGTCCTAGGCCAATGTAAACATGGTGTGCATAGCCTGCTATTAGGAATATTGCAACTGTGGTTCTTTTCCCTGGTTGCCCTATCCTTCCAATTCTTTACCCTTCCCCCCACCCTTACCTTGGTAGCATTCAATGTCCAACTGTTTTCCTCTTTTCCATTATAAATACTCTATGCCAGGTGCAGAACAATTTTACACTACAGAGCCTACTAATGATCACAACTACAAACCTAACCTATTAGGCAAGAGGGTAATTGAGTAGCTGGGCCTTGTTAAGGTAGTGTGTGTGTGTGTGTGTGTGTGTGTGTGTGTGTGTGTGTGTGTGAGTGTGTGTGTGGCAGGTGATGGTGTCTACATTCTAACAAGGGTCCCAGCTTTACACTAAAGGAATAAAGTAGAAGTGGTTGCCTTGGAGGCCCCTGCAAGAGGGTGCAGGAGATACTGAGATTTCTCCAAAGAAGCACATTTTCCTTTGTTCTCCTATGTTAGTATTTCTGACATAGGGATGTACTTTCTAACTTACGTAGCCATTGAATGTGTTGGCTTTTTGTTTTCCCTGAAAAGTTATGAATAAATGGGTGTTATGCTTTGTAATCAGCATGAACCTTGCATAGAGTGAGTTTCAATGGGATAGACAGAGAGTATGAAGACACTGGATACTACCAAAGGGAGAAAGTGTAAAGAAATAGAAAATAACTGAGAATTAAATTAATATAGTAATGCTGTGCCTTATAATCAGCAAAATGTTGGAAGCAAGGAATACTTTACTGTGAGAGGCGTGAGGTTCACATCCCGAACCATTAGCCACTCTGCTTCCCCACTGTTTTGAAGTCCAAGACCAGTGGAAGCCATGTAGATAATACTGTTTCTTGATGAAGGTTAATTGAATCAGCAGTACTCATCAACACTTCACCTACAAGCTTCCAGTATTTAACCTCTGGACTTCATTGATGTAATAATAGTCTTTTGAATTAATATTCACCAGACTTGTACAAGTTGTCCACATACCTCGTGGACTGAACATTAACACTTAATTGATGTTAATATTAAAGCATAAAATAGTTAAGCTTCTGAAAGCTGGAGCTCTGATTTTCTGCTGAGACTGTTAACGAATAAAAATCTGTTATATAATTAGAATACCCCACGGTACAAATTAGTAAAAGCCAAGGTTAAGACAAAATATTAAAGACTATTTTTCCCATTAACCCTGATTATATCAACTGTGTAAACTTAGAGGAGGAATTTAAACAACAGGACAGAGACAACTCCTGGCAGAGTTTTTGCACATTTCTTTGCAACTAAAAGCATATTTCAGCCATCAAAGCTTTGTGTGGTCAAATTCAAATCCATGGATCAAAGTAGGGAGTGCAGACAGTACCCAGACTAAACAAATAATCAAAGATTCATTCAGTTACTCAGATGTCAAAAACAAGATTAAAGTTTCCTCTGTTTGATAGGAAATATTTCTGGCCTTGGACATTATGGATAATTTTTGTCTTTTGTTTTTTGGATGAGTTCCTTACTTTCTACAATAGCTAACTATGTATAGGTACATAATAACTATGTACTGGGCACTCTGGACCAGGCCTTGTGCCTCTGCCTTCAATGAGTTGGTCATCTACAACTGCTGACTTGCTCATACAGACATACACATAGAGATTCTTTAAAATAGGTGAGGATATTCTCAGAGTAAAAAGTGAGTACCAAGGGAGCCTGTTTCCTACAGGAGTTGGGGGAGAGAGCAGCAGGAGATGTGAGTCAGGGAAGGCTCCACAGAGCAAGGTATACATGAACTAGATCTTGTGGAACATACTGGTTTTGTAGGGATGGTGTTGGGGAAGACCTTTGAGAAGGCAGGAGAAGCATGAATGATGTAGAGAAATTGTCCTCCAGAGGTTTGCTGGGGGTACTTTAGAACAATAAACAGAGTCTAATAGGAGCAGAATCAAGAATCCATTACTGTTTTGTAAATAAGTTCATTTGTATCATTTTTTTAAATTCCACATGTAAGTGATATCACATATATTTGTCTTTCTCTGTCTGACTTACTTCACTTAGTATGATAATCTCCAGGTCCATCCATATAGCTGCAAATGGCATGATTTCATTCTTTTTAATGGCTAAGTAATATTCCATCGCATATATGTACTACATCTTCTTTATCCATTCACCTGTCAATGGACATTTATGTTGCCTCCATGTCTTGGCTATTGTAAACAGCGCTGCAATGAACATTGGGGTGTGTGTATCCTTTCAAACCATGTTTTTCTGCAGATATATGCCCAGGAGTGGGATTGGTAGTTCTATTTTTAGTTTCTTAAGGAACTTCCATACTGCTCTCCATAGTGGCTGTACCAACTTACATTCCCACAAACAGTGTCGGAGGGTTCCCTTGTCTCCACACCCTCTCTAGCATTTATCGTTTGTAGATTTTTTTGATGATGGCCATTCTGACCAGTGTGAGGTGATAACTCATTGTAGTTTTGATTTGCATTTCTCTAATAATTAGTGATGTTGAGCATCTATGTGCCTCTGGGCCATCTGTATGTCTTCTTTGGAGAAATGTCTATTTAGGTCTTCTGTCCATTTTTTTGATTGGGTTGTTTGTTTTTTTGATATTGAGCTCATGAGCTGTTTGTAAATTTTGGAGACTAATCCCTTGTCAGTTGCATCATTTGCAAATATTTTCTCCCATTCTGAGGGTTGTCTTTTGGCCTTGTTTATGGTTTCCTTTGCTGTACAAAACAGAAACAGACTCATAGACTTAGAGAATGAACTTATGGTTACCAGTGTGGAAGGCTGGGGGGAGGGATAGATAGGCAGTGTGGGATTGACATGTATACACTGCTATATTTTACATAGATAACCAACAAGGACCTACTGTATAGCACAGGGAATTCTGCTCAGTATTCTGTAATAACCTTAATGGGAAAGGAATTGAAAAAGAATATCTACATGTATATGTATATGTATAACTGAATCACTTTGCTGTACACCTGAAACTAACACAACAACATTGTTAATCGACTATACTCCAATGTAACATTAAAAAAATAAAAAAGAGGAAAAATAAAAATAATTTTAAGGCACATAAGAAAAAGAATCTATAACTGGATTCTTACCTTCTTTCTCTCATTTGTCCTGGTCTTAACTAAAACTTAACCTCTTTGTACAAGAGTTGTGAATGGGTCTAAATGAAGGAGAGACAGAAAAGATAAAACTGAGGACTACAAAAGATTTATTAATTATTGGTAAATTTATTTTCTGAAGCCTAGAGTCAAAAGAGAGTCAACTCTATTATGTTCCAGGGTGCTTCACTATAAGCACACATAATAGCTAATTATTGATCAGAAAAAAGAGGGTCAGAAAGTCAGAGACACTTAAAGACTCATCATAACCCTCTGAGGTGTTATTATTCCATGTTCCAGATGAAGCTCCGAGGGGTTAAATATTTCATCAGCAATATCACAGCTCACTTAGGTTTGCACCAACTTGAGCAAAGGTCTCCTGATCCCTCGTTCTTTACTCCTTTTCCCCCACACCCACTGTCTCATGGAGTTGCAGGGACACACCTTCACCCTCCCTTACTCGGATGGAAGATACAGGTGATAGTTGTGTTGGCATTTAACAGATTCTGTTTCACTCATTAAAAATGCTGAGGTGGTGAACTTGTATCACTTCTATGGTTCCCAGTAATGTTTAACCTTAAGTTTAAAAAAATCTAGGAGATTAAAGAGCATGTTATCTGGCAAGTTCATTCCACCCCCAGTGGTTATTAATTTTGGAACACATCTGAATTCCTTCTCTGTGGCATATGCTTTAGCAGAGGAAAAGACAGCTCCAGGCCAGGGTCAGATTTCAAGTTCTCATCTGTTGGTACCACTACCAGATCCCTCTTTGTCGTCAACTTTTGAGATCTTCCCTGAGTACAACTTGGTTTCCGAAGTGCTACACAGTGCCCCTGGTCATCATTCTCTTCACACAACCACAATCTCCTCTCCTGGAAAAGCGTCTACTCTACTGAGCTTTGCTTTTGGAAAGAACTTCTCCCTGAGACCAGGTTGAGAGCGACTCTCTGGTGCCATACTTCCCAGCATGGAGGTGAAGAACTTTGAAGTTTGGGATTATGTCGTCTTTGCAGCCCTCTTTGTCATTTCCTCTGGAATTGGGGTGTTCTTTGCCATTAGGGAGAGAAAAAAGGCAACTTCAAGGGAGTTTCTGGTTGGGGGACGGCAAATGACCTTTGGCCCCGTGGCATTGTCTCTGACAGCCAGCTTCATGTCCGCTGTCACTGTCCTGGGGACCCCGGCTGAGGTCTACCGCTTTGGGGCATCCTTCATCATCTTCTTCATTGCGTACGCATTTGTGATCCTCTTCACGTCAGAGCTCTTTCTCCCTGTGTTCTACAGATCTGGCATCACCAGCACATATGAGGTAAGACAACTACTTCCTTCATCTTCACTTTGGGAGGTAGTTGCTGTTTCCTCTCCACTTGAACATGTTTTGTTATTCTTGCTTTTTTCTCTAGTGATACACATTGTCTTGATGATAACACATGATAGTTGAAAAACACTCACTTATTTTCAGGGCAATTATACATCATGGGAAAAAATATTGCAGTGTTATTGGGGAAAGCTTAAGCTTTGGATACAGATACACTTGTATCCAAAGACATCTACAGACACCTACACTTTCCATCTGTAGAACAGAAATAACAAAGTCAAGCCCACCAGGCTACTTCAATGATTAAATGAGAACATGTAGGTAAACATCTAATATACTGTCTAACTTGTAGGAGATTCTCAATGAAGGAAAGCTGATGTTATTACTTGTATTATTATTAACATCAGTATTCTGCAAAGCACAAAGAACATTGTGTATTGTCACTTTTCAGCTAAGAAAACGGAGATACAGATAAATGACTTAGTCAAGGTTGTACAGTGGATTGTATAGTTTTAGTAAAACAGTTCAGTTACTACATTAAACCAATTGCAAATATATAACTGAGGAGATTTGAGACAGTACAGATAGAGGACATATAAGCATTTCATTGAATTTAATTTACCATTTACCTTTGCCCTTTACATATTTTTTAAATTGTAGTACCCTAATAAGAAGAAATTCAGATTGTGTAAAGTACATATTTTGGGACTGCCTCTTTCTTTATAAGAATTAGCAGTGTGGCATTAAAAGGGGTTAAAAGTATGAACTTTAAACTCAGGCTACTTGGCTTTGAATACTAGCTCTGCTGCTTAACTAGCTGTATGACTTTGGGAAAATGACTTACCCTCTCTACCTGATTTTCACATATGTAAAATAAGAATAATAAAACTACCTATCTTAAAGAATTTCTGTGAGGAGTAAATGAGTTATTATATGCAAATACTTTTAACAGAGCCTGGCAAGTTGTAAATGCCATGGAAGAGTTTTATATTATTTATCATTATTGTTCTTGTTGTTGTTACAGTCCCCAAATTTCTACCAATCTCTGTATAGAAACTTGAATTTATGTTTATTTGTTCATCATCCATCTTCTGTTACCTAGCCATAGATATTCTTACCAGGATCTTTTGAAGTAGTTAAAACTGAAAGGGTAGAGTCTATTTCCTGACCTCTTGAATCTGGGATGGTGACTTGCTTGTGACTTGCTTTGACCAATAGCATGTGGCAGAAGTGATGTGTGAATTGGGAGCTTAAGTCTCATGAGGCGTAATTATAGCTTCTGCCTTTGCCTTCTTGGAATGTTGTCCTGATATAGCTATGTCAGGAAGTGGGTCTAGTTGTTCTAGCTTCTGGAGGATGAGTGAACAAGTAGAGAAGAACAGAAGCACACTGGCCGGCAGCCAACACCAATCACCAGACATGTGAGTGATGCCATCTTGGATTTTCTCCTCCAGCTGAACTTCCCATTGATTGCAGCCCCATGGCAGCCCTTGATTCAAGAGAATCAAGTAGAGGAATCACCCAGCCAATCCTAATAATTGTGAGAAATATTAAGTCCTTGGTTTTTAAGCCATTGAGTTTTGGGATTGGCAATAGCCAACTTATTTAAATGCTTTGATATGCAGGGGGATTTCAAGACTAATCTATGTCATCTGTGCTACTTTGTCACTATCCTCTCCCGTGTCAAAGCATAAGGAACTGTTTTCACCCTCAAGTTATAAATTAGACTCAACTCATTTGCAATATCATACATTTTCATTATCTCCACTTGGACAGTTTATAATTGGTCTCATCATGTTGTCTCCACTTCACTTAGAGTTATTTTCTTCTTTGTCTTATCAAACACTAATAGATCTAGCATGCTATTATTTACCCTTAACACTACCTGTGAGCTGATGTCTACCTGCTTTCTCATTTTTCTTGGACTTCTTAAGCTAAATAGTTTCTGAACTACTTACTTCTCTCTAATCCAGACTTTTTCATTATAATGCCCAGGCTACTACTTCTTCCATAGTGTTTTCTAAGCATAGATTATACACTTTTTTTTTCTGTAAATTGCTTTCCTTTTAGTTCTCCTTTAAATTACATTTGTGGCATTTTAGTAATTATATTTAAAATTTGAGAAATTAGGTGTGTAGGTATAAGATATCATTATTGAGTATTATTTCAGTACAGTAAATAAAGTGACAAAATATTTGTTGTAAATGGATATTTAGGGTGTGATATGGTCTAAACCAATGTTGTGAGGCCTTTTCAAGTCATTATAAGGATTGATGTTTACTCTCAGTGGGATGGGTCATTGCACTGTTTAGGCAGGAGAGTGCTGTAATGTGATTTGTATTTTAAGAATATTACTCTAGCTGTATGTTGAGGCTAATTATAAGGTTTTTACTGCTGAAGCAGGGGGTCTAGTTAGGAAGCTATTGCTGTAATCTAGGCAAGAATGATGGTATTAGCGTGGAGACAGAGGGGATAATGCAAGTGAAATTTTGAAAGGGTAGGGAGGAGGTGCCAGGATTCTTTTATGAATTGCATGTGGGGAGTGAGACAGAAAGAGGAGTCAAGGATGGCTCCATGATACTTGAACCAACATGAAAAGTGGACTTATTTCCTGAGATGGAAAATAGTGTGGCTATATCAGGTTTGGGGTTTTGAAAATAGTCAAACATGATGGTAAATGTTACCTGTGCTATTTTTAAAAGCAAGCACAAAGCATGCAACTTTTCTGCTGAACTTCCATTTTTACTTTTGACTGTAGTTAAAACTATACACCGATCCAGGATGACCACTGGATACGTGAGTGAGTGAATACAATCTTTCAGATGGAGAATTATGCAGTTTGAATAGTCTCTTATTTCATGGATGAGAAACCAGAGGCTTAGATAACAGAGTGAGATAGTGGCAAAGCTCAAACTAGAATTCAAGATGTCTTACTTCTGATCTAGTTCTTTTTTTTTCATATATATTTTTCTTAATACTGTCTCTCTAGTTTGACTGAATTGACTGAATTTAGAGGAACTAAACTGAAATGTTAAAACCATTGACTTTTGCTGATTCCTATAGCAGTTTTCTCACTACCTTTCCATTTTTCAGGAACGATTTCCCCTTTGCTTTCCTAGACTTCATATGCCAAACAGTCCCAAAGCCAATATCACATAGTTTGGGTTTTGTTACATTTCTCCACTTCTGATACCACATTTTATATCAGTTATCTATTGCTGTGTAACATACCATCCCAAAACAAATTTCTTAAACCAACAATTTTACCTGCTCACAATTTTGTGGATCAGTAATCTGACCTGAGCTCAAGAGAGTCTAGTAAGACAGTAAGGTTCTTCTGGTCTTACTTGGGGCCATCTCTGTAACTGCCATCAGTTAGTGGGTTGGTTAGTGGCTCGTTGGTCTAGGGGAACTCAGATGGGACAGCTTGTAGCATACTACACTTGGTTTCATCCTCTAGTAGGCTATCCGGGTTCTTCATGTGATGGGAAAAGAATCCCTATCAACCAGAAGACACAGCTCATTACAAGCAATTTTGCAGTCTCCACTTGAATCATATTTGGTAGAAATATCACCGTCTTAAGTTGTGTTCCCCCAGAAGCAAATTCTGAGACAAGGAGTTTAATGCAAGTCATTTTGGGGGGAAATGATTTTATTAAGCATTGGTAGGCAAGTGGCAAGTAAGACATGAAAAAAAAGGAAGCCAATAAAGTTATGCTTTTGAGCAGGTTGTTATTGTGAGCAACTGAGGTTCTAGCTCACTGGGGATTTCTGGGGGACAATACAGATCACATATCAGGGTTGGTCTCCTTGAAATAAAAATAACTGGGATTTTTTGGTCCAACTTCCTTTTGTCATTGGCTGAAAGACAATGATAACACCCCCAAGCACTTCTAGTCTGCCCTGTGCAAGGGGTGAGATAAAGCCCTCAAGCAGAAAATCACGGTGCAGTTAGATGCTATCAACATGTACTGGGACAGAGAGTGCCAATAAGCTCCAGGGGTCACACCCACAATGACTACTACACTCACTAAGATCCCACTATGTTCCTGTCCCTGCACTTGATGTTATCGTACACTATATCATTAGATCCTACAAATGCCAATTTTAGAAAGAGGTGGCCATCATTTAGTGCAATAAACTAATCCTTCCAAGGACATGTGATTTGAACCCATGTTGTCTTCAGCTTAAAAGTTTTGCACTGTTTTTTATCCTATGATACCTGAGACTTTCAGTTTCTCTCTCAGTGACTTCCTTACTTCTTTAAAAATATTTTCCTCATACCTAGTGCCCTCAGTTACACATCCACTTGATTATTACCTGACTCACAGTGTACTGAATGTGTTGTCTGAATAAAGATGGTCTGAAAATAAGGTGGTTCTTCCCTTGGGGGAAGGGTTGAGCAGTAAATTGGGAGATGTGGATTAGTGTGAAACTGAGTCACAATTCTGTCAAGAGGAGTTTTTTCTAGGGTTTCAAAGAAGGTTCCACCTTAAGCCATCAATCAACACTTACTATGTATTATTTCTAGGAAAAGGACACATCAGTAAACTTCTGGGTTAATCAAAATGATTTTTCTTAAATTAGATAAGAAAGAACTGCTACCAATTAGAAATTACTACCAAGAACTACCACCAGGATATTAAGTCCTCAAGTCATTTGCTACTTTTAACATTCATTTTGTTCATTCAGTACATGTTTATCATACACTGGAAGACAAATACTAGTGCCTTCTAGAATATTTGTTCAGGAATACCTTTCTTGACCTCCAACAGTAAATCAGATCCATCTGTTTAGTGTGTTCACACCTCCCTGTAGCTTTTTAGTACATACCATCACTGTAATTTTACTTTAGTATAAATTTGTTAATGGTCTCCTCTAATCTGTAAAATCCTTTGTGACATGAACTATATAATATTTGCTATCATTGTATAGCAGAATGCCATATAGAGGGAAAGTAATAAATATTTGTTAAATGAATGAATACATGAAAGACGAAGATAAAATGAATAAAATAAGACCCTGTTTACATGTACCAGGGAAAGTAAGTGTGGTAGGCTGAAAAATGCATCCCCCTCCCTCTAAAAATCATAATAAGTGTTCTAATCCCAGGAACCTGTGGCTGTTACCTTATATGGTTTAGAAAAAGAGATCTCTGTAAAGTTGAATAAATTAAGGATCTTGAGATGGAGAGATTATCCTGGTTAAACCAGGTAGGCCTTAAGTACAAGCACATTTATATGAGGGAGGCAGAAGGAGATTTGACAGACAGAAGAAAAGGCAGTGTGACCAAAGAGGCAGAGATTAGAGTGATAAATCTAAAAGCTAAAGGACTGCCTGCAGCCACCAGAAACCCCAAAGAAACAAATTCTTCCCTAAGACCTCCAGAGGGAGCAGAGCCCTGCCAACACTTTGATTTTGGCCCAGTGAAATTGATTTTGAACTCCTGGCTTCCAGCAGAACTGTAAGAGAACACAGTTCTGTTGCGTTAAGCCACCCAATTTGTGATATTTTGTTACAGTAGCCATACGAAACAAATACAGTAAGCTACGCGAATCCAACACTAAAATACAAGGCAGCAGGTGATCAAGTGTTATTACATATGAAAGAAGTTTAATATTAGTTGCCCTAAATGCTCAGAGGAGAAAGTATGAGTAGGAACAGGAATGGCAATTGGGCTATCCTTTTTTTTTGTTTGTTTTTTTACATCTTTATTGGAGTATAATTGCTTTACAATGATGTGTTAGTTTCTGCTTTATAACAAAGTGAATCAGTTATACATATACATATATTCCCATATCTCTTCCCTCTTGCATCTGCCTCCCTCCCACCCTCCCTATCCCACCCCTCTAGGTGGTCACAAAGCACCGAGCTGATCTCCCTGTGCTATGTGGCTGCTTCCCACTAGCTATCTATTTTACGTTTGGTAGTGTATAAATGTCCATGCCACTCTCTCACTTTGTCACAGCTTATCCTTCCCTCCCCATATCCTCAAGTCCATTCTCTAAGAATTGGTGAATTTGGAGAGAGGGAGGCTCTCTCACACTGAAAATCTGCCTACACAAAGGACAAATCTGCAGAGTACAAAGCATGCTGGTTGAATTATACATAATGATTTTACGTGGAGAATAAATCATGTGAGGGTTAGTGATGTGAGCTAACAAGAAGGGTGTGGATCAGACAGTAGAGAGTTTAGAATGTCAAGCCTGGGATGTGCATTTTGTTTTGTCAATGATAGAGAGTCACTAGAAAGTTTGAGGAAAAGCATGACATGACCAGAGCTCTGCTTTAGGAGAATCAGTGCAGCAGGTGTGTGGTTGGTGGAATGAGTGGGCAAGGCTTGGAATTAGAGAGGTCAGTTAGGGGGCTACTGCATTGATCTGGGAAAGAGGAAAGGAAGGCCTGAGCTGAATCTGGGGACAGTGGGGATATAAAAGGAAATAATGGCTTTGGCATATCCACTAGGAAGAGCCCTGGATAATGAGCCAGAAAATCTGGTTTTTATTGAAGCAATAACAATTTAAAAATAAAAAACATTTATCTTCTCTGACCATCAAGGGAAGCTTGAGCAAAAATTGAGTTTTACTATATCTTTGACTTTAAATAATCCAAATTTGTTTCCTTTTCTCCCAAGTACAGATAGCGTATAATCATGTTATAAACTAAGCACTAAACTCAGAGAAATACCAAGAAAACAGAAAACCTTCTTAGCAGCCCTTACATAAAACTTGCTGATTCTTTGCACATCCTTCTCTCTGTTCTTTCTAGTACTTACAACTACGATTCAACAAGCCAGTTCGCTATGCAGCCACAGCCATCTACATTTTGCAGACGGTAAGGGGTAAGGGTTGCTGCAGAGGTGGATTGGGGAGTGACAAGTATGGGTTTGTTTATTTCAGGGGGCAATTAACACAATTAAAAGAAAGATTCAACACTAAGAAGAAACTACTTTCTTCTAAGGATAGCACTTTCAAGACAAATGATTATATCAAGGTATTTCCACATTTCATAGACCCCATATATCTGTACAAATAATGACAAACAAATATATATATAATAAACCACCAAGGGAAAAAAAGCTTTTTCTTAAATTTATTTTGAACTCTTATTTAACCTGTTCAAGTTGCTTTTGATATGAAATGATCTGGTAACTAATTCTGTTTTGTTTTGTTTTTTTACTAGTAAACTATGTTGAACCAGAAATACCCGTTTTGCTGAAAATCTGTTTAAGATTATACTCTCAAACCAATATTCCCACATTCCCCTTTTGGACTCCTCTCCTGGGTTCTAGGGTGCCCTCTTTCTGCCCCACACTTGCCTGTGGGACACCCTCAATGCATTTCCCGTGACTCACCAAGAACTTTCTGCTAGAAGCTAACTCCCTTCTCTTTCCTTAATCAAAACTCCCACTCACTGACTGAAGGATTTAAGAACAAGTAACTGCTCCTTGACCTGTCCATAGATATTTGCCTTTTAAAACCCCACATGGATCTCTAAATGGTGAAATTTCATTTAAAATTAAATGGGACTCCATCCACTTCCATCAGTGTAGTGGCTGCAGGTCTGGGAGCTTGAAGATATACCCACTATGAAGATCACCCATGTTGGTAGTTTTCCCTGCATGGTGCTCTAATCACGGATTATTTCCATCTCCACTCTAAAATTTATGTTCCAAATTGCTAAAATGTGTTTGTGTCATGGTGATATGTGTATGATGGGGTAGTGGAAGGGTGAATCAAAAACTTAACTTGAACCCTATTTTCATATCCTTCAGAAATATACCAGATCTAGCCATAAAATCTCAAAATATGCAGCCATCTTAAAAGTCCAACACTCTTCCTCCATCGCATGCTTATTATCCCTTCTGCAAATTAGTTACAGTAGCCAAGGATTTCAAAACAAGAGTGCCTGGGATTGAAGTGTTTGACGAAGAAGTTTAAGGAAATGTAGCTTTAAGGTCATAAGGAATTTTTTAGGCAGACTTAATTTCAGTGTCACTTTTCTCACTGGTCACCTGATTCTTGTCTCTCCACCAGATTCTCTACACAGGAGTGGTGGTGTATGCTCCTGCTCTGGCCCTCAATCAAGGTGAGCTAGCGACACTCTCTTGCACTGTCCACCATTTTTATACATGCCTTGTCACCTTGAGAAATATACACACAACATCTTGTTGAGGAGACATTCCTGTGGTTAGGGTGCTTGAATTACTCTAGTTGTCACAACATAAAGCTCTATAAACTGAACGCTGAAAACAATGCAAATAACTAGTTACTTGATTTTATCCACATGGTTCCAAACACCCAATGTGATTATTGCTTGTTTTCTAATCACTGAAGTTATGGCAATTTTTTTTGAAGTATGGTTGATTTAAAGTATGTTTTGTTAGATTGTACATCAAAGTTATTCAGTTGTATATACTTTTTGTGCAAATTATTTTCCATTATAAGTTATTACAAGATATTGAATATAGTTCCTTGTGCTATACAGTAAATCTTCCTTGTTTATCTTTTTCTTTCTATTGGAGTATAGCTGCTTTACAATATTGTGTTAGTTTCTGCTGTACAATGAAGTGAATCAGCTATAAGTATACATATATCCCCTCCCTGTTGGACCTCCCTCCCACCCTCCCCCGCATTCCCACCCATCTAGGTCATCACAGAGCACTGAGCTGATCTCCCTGTGCTATACAGCAGGTTCCCACCAGCTGCCTATTCTACACATGGTAGTGTACATATGTCAATCCTAATCTCCCAATTCATTCCACCCTCCCCTTCCCCACCCCCCATGTTCACATGTCTGTTCTCTACATCTGCGTCTCTATTCCTGCCTTGCAAATAGGTTCATCTGTACCATTTTTCTAGATTCCACATATATGTGTTAGTATACAATATTTGTTTTTCTCTTTCTGACTTACTTAACTCTGTATGACAGTCTCTAGGTCCATCCACATCTCTACAAATGACCCAATTTCATTCTTTTTTATGGCTGAGTAGTATTCCAGTGTGTATATGTACAACATCTTCTTTATCCATTTGTCTGTCGTTGGATATTCAGGTTGTTTTCATGTCCTGATTATTGTAAATAGTGCAATGAACACTGGGATACTTGTGTCTTTTTTTTAAATTTTATTTATTTATTTTTTATACAGCAGGTTCTTATTAGTAATCTATTTTATACATATTAGTATATACATGTCAATCCCAATCTCCCAATTCATCCCACCACTGCCACCCCCACCCCCACTCTCCCCCCTTGGTATCCATACGTTTGTTCTCTACATCCGTGTCTCTATTTCTGCCTTGCAAACCGGTTCATCTGTACTTTTCTTCTAGATTCCAAATATATGCGTTAACCGACAATATTTGTTTTTCTCTTTCTGACTTACTTCACTCTGTATGACAGTCTCTAGTTCCATCCACGTCTCTAAAATGACCCAATTTCATTCCTTTTTATGGCTGAGTAATATTCCATTGTGTATGTGTACCACATCTTCTTTAACCATTCATATGTCTATAGGCATTTAGGTTGCTTCCATGACCTGGCTATTGTAAATAGTGCTGCAATGAACATTGGGGTGCATGTGTCTGTTTGAATTATGGTTTTCTCAGGATATATGCCCAGTAGTGGGATTGTTGGGTCATATGGTAATTCTATTTTTGGTTTTTTAAGGAACCTCTATACTGTTCTCCATAGTGGTTGTATTAATTTACATTCCCACCAACAGTGCAAGAGGGTTCCCCTTTCTCCACACCCTCTCCAGCATTTATTTTTGTAGATTTTTTCATGATGGCCATTCTGACCGGTGTGAGGTATGTATAGTAGTGTGTTTCAGTAATCTCATACTACTAACTTATCCCTACTCCTTCCCTTTCTCCTTTGGTAGCAGTAAGTTTGACAATTTTGTATGGTACATACACAACCACTAAATAAGGTCATCTATAATATATGTCCTTTCTCAGCAATCTCATGAAGTTGATACTCTGAATACATGAGTAAAATGTGCTTGTAGTAATTATTTTAAGATTTATACCTGACCCCTTTGAAAGAATAGAATCCTAGGGAAAAAAAGGAAAGAAGAAACAAAAGTGAAAGAAATTTCATAATAATACCTGTAATATTAGAAGTCCTCAGTATTCAATTTAATTGTGCTATGTGATTATAATGAGAAATATTTATTCATGGTCAACGTTTAGGTGGTTTCAAAGTACTCAGACTAACTTTGTTAAGAAAAACAAACAAACAAACAATTGGTGCAGAGATTGGAAGCTCTAGAATATTAAGAGGAATAATTTGGCTTTTAGCATTACATGAAAATTATGGGCTGGGTTGAGGTATAATAATGTAATAAAATAATCTTTATCAGAGGTGAGAAAATTTAATGAGACAACTCTAATTTGATTTCCATTTGCGCACAAAGAACACAGACAAAAATATTGTGACTTTTTCCTCATAAAGTTTGTTCTTTTACTTTCCTTAGAGAAACTTCTTTCAATATTTTTTTCTCCTTTCATAGTGACTGGGTTTGATCTCTGGGGCTCTGTGTTTGCAACAGGAATTGTTTGCACATTCTACTGTACCCTGGTATGTATCTGGCTGTGAAAAAGTATTTAGCACTATCTCCTAATATGGGATAAGGGCTAATTTCCAACATCAGGGCATCTAAGTATAGCAGAAATTGCTATTCCACAATTAAATAGAAATATGCTGGCTTATCTATCACAGTTTCCAGAGGAAGGTGCCATTGTTTTGTTTAAAATTCTTTTCAGTACCAGCCATTAATAGAATTTGGGCTTTGGGCTCATTTGAGAAAGCCATGGCTAAGAGAAGATTTAATGACAGAAATATCTCCGTGTTCGGAGGGTAGGTGACCATATACAACTACTGAGAAAAAAAAAAATGTGCTCATTAACAGTGATTATAAAACATAGGTAGCATTTATACTTCACTGTCTACTCGTTGAGGAATACAAAATGCATGAATGAACGATCAAGGATGGCTGGTATTTTGTAAAATTGAGATTCCACAACTTGCTTTTGTCTCTTATAGATGGATACATTTGGACTACATTTAACATTTGGTCTTACACATGGTCAGTTTTAACCAAGGAACCTGGGTGGTATTGGCAATTATATTTATATAATTGTTACAATCGGTTTAGTTCAACAAACGTTCATTGAGCACCTATTATTTGCCATGCCCTGCAATAGAAATCTTTATTCTTCTGAGTCATTGGTACCATATATGGAGGCTTTAAGTAACCAGTTAAGAATATGGCAATGGTCCGCAGATAGCTGGATTCTCCTTCCTCCTTTGCAGAGAAAAATAAAGTAATTGATATATTATCATATAGCACCATCCATGTATTTTGGCCTTGTGTGCATATCACTTACTCTTTTAACATATATCATGATAACATACAATTTAAAAATGCTCTTATCTCTATTTTCATACTTGCAAATCCCACCATTTCTTTGCACTACAGTTTTATCTTATTTTTTTTCCATTCCATTCTCACTACCATAATTCTATTCCAGACATACTCCTCCTACCTAAATTTAAAATAGTCTCCTATTCCTTACATGTCTGGCCGTATGTGACAGATTAGTGACTCTGAAGTAACTTCCCATAGGAGGATAAATAGATGCATTGCTTAGCAACAGTAATGGAAGCCAGAAACAATGGAATAATATCTTCAAAGCACTGAAGGAAAACAATTGTCAGTTATAATTGTGTATTTAGCAAAACTATCTTTCAGAAACTGACTGTCAAGAATTGAGAGAAATCACCTCTAACATATCTTCCCCTGAGAAAAACCTAGAGGAAATACTGTGGGAAGAAGGAAAATTATCCAGTTTTTGATGGAAGAAGTAATGATAAGAAAATAAAATAGTAAACCTTTAGTAAGTCTAGTCAAACAATTTCCGTTGCTTAATGAAAACAACAATAATTTTATAGTATGGTATAATTTATATAGTATCTAATAATATAGTTTATAATATTATAAATATAATAATAATGATTACTATTATATGTAATTTTGAGATTAAGAAAAAGAATAACTTTCATTTGGACATCAATAGCATGTAAATCAGGAAGAGAGTAATTAGACTTAAAGATTTTTGTGGGTTTTTTTTTTGCGGTATGCGGGCCTCTCACTTTTGTGGCCTCTCCCGTTGCGGAGCACAGGCTCCAGACGCGCAGGCTCAGCGGCCATGGCTCACGGGCCCAGCCGCTCCGTGGTATGTGGGATCTTCCCCGACTGGGGCACAAACCCGTGTCCCTGCATCGGCAGGCGGACTCTCAACCACTGCGCCACCAGGGAAGCCCCTTAAAGATTTTTTTAATCCTTGAATTGCTGGGGATTAAGACATTTTAAAAATTTGACTCTAAATGAAAAATTCATGGCAAAATTTCAAGCAGACTCATTTAAATAAAACAATCAGAGTAGAAGAAGGGAATTAAAACAAAGCAAAAATAAAACTGCAATTGATTTAAGAAAGAGAAGAAAAAAATACAGAAAAAGTAGAACAAATAGAAACCAAAAAGATGTCAGAAACAAGTCTGGATACTTTAATAATCACAATATACAAAAATAAACTAAATGTACTACCTCTTAATTGATTTCAGTGTTTCCCTCCACCCTGCATGCCTCTGTTAACTTAATCTTCTTAAAACATCCATCTCTTCACGCCACTTGACTGACCTAATTCTCTCCTTGCTTCCCATTGTTCACAGGATAAAGTGTAAACTTCTTAACCTAGTGTTGGAAATCTTTCAGTCTGTGAGTCAATCCACCCATCTAACCTCTTCTCACACATCTTTGTTCCACCTCCTACCTCTCGCTGGAACACAAGCTTCAATGTCTTACCAAACTGGTGACTCATTTATCTAACACTTTTGCTCATAGAGCAGTTTCTTTACTCTGTTAATCCTGTGGATGTGTAGCCTAGCTAAGATAACCAGTGGAAGAGATATAAAAAAAAAAAAAAGAAAAAAAGAAAGAAGGATTCCTGCCACCCAAGAGTTTGCAATCTAGGGAGGTAAACAGTAGAATCAAAACAACAGACTGATTAAAATACCTAAGTGACACTCAAGGCACAGTCAGGATTGTAGATGAGTGGTGTGTGGGCGTGTGTGTCTCTTGCTGTATGAAGGAGTCATAGAATCAGAGAAGTTTTCATGGTAGCTTATAGCTACATTAATCTGCCTTTTGAAGCACATTTGTTAAAGCGGTGATGAAGTGGTTTGTTCTCTTGCCCCAGGTCTAGCTCAAGTTCAGGTTTATGCATATAAACCATGCCAAGTAGCCTCTGAAAACTGAGGTCTTTGATATTTGGTCTTCATATCACTAAAATATGATATTGTGATTTGGGTTTAGAAGTCTTACTGTCTTTAAAGAAAATCAAAATACCACTCTTGGAAGGTGGAAGTAAGAGATTGCATATTTCTCAAATTGGAAATAGAACAGAATATAGAAACACAATGCATGTGGAAGGGACTTTTATGTCTATTTTTAAATTGCATTTTAACTTTAACTACACGAGAAATGATGAGACAAATCCAGTGTCTTCTTTCTTCTCAAGATAAAGATGAAGCCTGTCATCTTTTCACAGAAGTTCTTGACACTCTGGGGGAGTAACTGGGGGTAATTCTATTTTTCAACGTTAAAAATACCACATCCTTTCATTCACATAGTGCTTATTCATTTTCAAAGTACTTTTAAAATATATCACTTCATTTAATCTTTCCTAATTTGCTCATGGCACCTTTACCATGTTCCTAAGGGATTCTCCAGCAGCTTCTTTCTTTCCTCCTTTCTTCTTGCCCACATATTCCCAACTAGAATTGTACATTGGAATCACCTGGGGAGCTGTAAAAACACTTAGAACTGGGTCCCAGCCCAGACCTCAATTTATTCAGAATTCCTGGGGATGGGGCTCAGTCATTGGGTTTTTTTGTTTGTTTCCAAATTCCCCAAGTGACTCTAAAAAGCATCCAGGTTTGATAACCACTGCTCTAACCTATTGCTGAATCACCGTCTCCTGAGGTCTACTGTTAGATTCACCCTCCTGACACTCTGGTTTGCTCACCTCATTATTTGACCATCCTCTAGCTCTTAAAACAACTTTCTCCATGGGTGTCTGGAATCTATCATTCCTTCCTAGTTCTTTTCTTTTTTTTCAGTAGCCTACCATCTCAGTTTCCCCAAATTTATTCACTGCACTAAATTTACAAAAAATAAAATCTCAAATTGTACAAGCAAGACCCAGATGATCATCCTCAATAAACCTGGCACATAAAATGTGCTCAGTGATGAAAGAAAGAAAGAAAGAAAGAAAGGGAGGAAGGAAGGAAGGAAGGAAGGAAGGAAGGAAGGAAGGAAGGAAGGAAGAAAGAAAGAAAGAAAAAGAAAGAAAGAAAGAAAGAAGGAAAGAAAGAAAGAAAAGAAAGAAAGAAAGAAAGAAAGAAGAAGGAAATAGAGAAAGAAAGAGGGAGAGAGAGAAAGAGAGAGGGATGGAGGAAGGGAGGGAGGAAATAAGGAAGGGAGGGAAGGAGAGAGAAAGAGAGAGAGATTGAGAAAGAGGGAGGGAGGGAGGGAGAGAAGGGGGAAGAAAGGGAGAAAAGGGAGAAAGAAAGATGCATTAGCAGAGAGGCTGTGCAGAAATGGAAGAGTTGAGGCTTCATTTTTAAGAACTCACATCCATTCTCTTCATTTCAGGGAGGACTAAAAGCAGTGGTGTGGACCGACGCATTTCAGATGGTTGTCATGACTGTGGGCTTCTTAACAGTTCTCATTCAAGGATCAGCCGATGCTGGTGGATTACACAATGTATTAGAGCAATCAGCCAATGGATCTCGACTAAATATATTTGAGTATGTCCAATGCTACTTTTTCTTGTTTTATAAAGATTTAGCCATATGACCTCATCACCTAAAATAATATTTGGGCATCAAAGGAATGTATTTGTTCACTCACTTCTCTCTGCCTCATAGCTTTGATGTAGATCCTCTCAGGAGGCACACTTTTTGGACAATCTCAGTGGGAGGAACTTTTACATGGCTTGGAATCTATGGAGTTAATCAGTCGACCATCCAGCGATGCATCTCTTGCAAAACAGAAAAACATGCCAAGCTGTGAGTTATTAATGAACATTTCAATGTTTCTTCTCTGCGCTTTATATGCTTCAAATGTGTTTGTGTGTGTGCGTAAAAGAGAGAAAGAAACAAAGATTCATTTAACCCTTTCAACAATTTTTTGAGGCAGGCATTACTATTCCCTTCTCCACAAGGAAGTGGCAGTGCTGGGATTTGAACTTAGATCTTTCTGTCTGCCTTTGTTCACCGTCATTTGCTGCTTTCATTTACTGAGAAATTACTGGGTTAAATTAGGTGCTGTGGGAAGAAATGCAGAAAGAAGGAGCACATATTTCTTACTTACAGTTTCTGTGATGAGATGGCCCTCATCACTATTTCCATCCAGCATGTGGTCTCTTCAATTACGATTTTTATTTTGATGGATGTACTGTAAAAGTTTCCAAGGGGACGTTAAAAGAAGAAAACCCAAGGTAATGAAACAAGTCGTAACAGGGCTTCAGCTGCTCCAACTCCTGCCCGGATAACCAGTCACCAGTTTTACCAGGTCTGCTTACTCTGAAGGACTCCACAGAGTTGCAACTTAAGGCTTTTTAAAACCATGCAATTCATCCCACCTTCTAGAATGGAGACCAAAGGAAGTTATGCACTTTTATTTTTTATTTTTTGTAAAACTGGCAGAAATAAGCTAGAATTTCATTGAAAATGGGCATTTCATCCTCATTGCTGCTACCCAAGGTTCCAGCCTCTGCAGACTTGTCAGAATGCCGTTAACTTTTCTTGGAGTGAGAAACAGCCACTATGAATATTTCCACAACTGATCATAAAATACTTTCAATGCATAGTTTCTTATTTAGACAGAATAATGGCTATGGCTATGGTCCAACATTTTGTAACTTGAATTTCAAAAGGGAATATGTTACTTACATAGTTAACATACCCTCAGAAGGAAGAAGTGAAAACATTATCTACTGTTCTATCAATTCACTGGTAACATATTCATATCCTATTACAATAAATAATATTAAACTCTCTACACATGTGATCATCACTTTCTCAAATAGTTGAATTACTAAAAATGTATTTAGGATCAAATATAATTTTATCTTAAAATTCACTTAAAATTAGAATTCATTTAAAATTCTGCATTAAAATAAATTAGAGTTGACGATATCTGATAAGGGAAGAATCATTAGGTGAAATAAATAATAATTCTCTATTAAATCAAGGGGTTTTTTAAATCTTATGTGCTTGTGTTATACTGTTTATTCTTGTGAACATACCTAATTTCTCCCTATTATTATAATAGTACCTAAAAGTTAGGAAATGTATTTTTTTCATCATTTTTTCAAGAGACCAAGAATAGTACTTTGTGCTTATTAAATATTGATTACTTATTGAACAAAGTAATGCTTCAAGAAGGTCATGCTTGAATGTGTAAGCACATAAATGGACACATATATACATAAGAATTTATGTGTGTGTGTGCATGTGTAGGAGTGTATATATGTATATTCCGGCATGTGTACTTGTGCTTGTGTATCTTTAGATCTTGTTTAGTGGATTGGTTTAAACTAAGCCACCCATTCATAATAGTTTCTTGGAATTTGTTACATTGGTATTTGATGGGTATGAAAACTGTCAGAAAAGGAGAGATACTCACGAAAGAAAATATATATATAATTTCCTAAGCATTTAGGACTGCCATTCCTGGTTCCACCCATCCCCACTCCCATGGAAGGACCAGAGCTATGATGGGAATTTTGTTAGAATAAGGAAAGATGAAAAAATAAAAACTGTCTTTAGAAAAGACTTCCCTGTAAGAATCTTAGTTGATACAATTCAGGAGCGAGAAATCAGTCCAAATGGTCAGTATGGTTGAAGTGCACACAGCTGGAGGGGAGATTGCTATAGTGGGGATCTAGTGGGACCTCTCATTTGTCACGCAACTGGAGCCTCAAGGACACTTCCAGGGCAACTGGGGTCCACTCAGAGCCAGCTGCCAACAGACTCTTATCTAGGAGACTCTATAGAATGTTGATTACGTGCATCACTTCTGCTCAATTATCTGAGAGCCTGATGTAATTAGGACATTCCATCAGGGTTTAGAAAAATCTCTGCATCATAGGTAGGTGAAAATACATCCATAAAGTTCATACTGAATGTGGCCATAGGTTAAAACCAGAAGTGACCCATTATAGATGCATTTAATTGCATGGCCAGAATGGTGATTACTCACTAAAGACAGCTTCATCTTAAGCCAGATCTTCTTCAAACTTAGGAATAGTATCACTTACCAAATCATTTTAGACGTGCTCCCTGGAAGCTGCTTTGGACGCTTTTGTTTCTAGACTTCAGTTTACATTTCAGGACTTCAGGTAGAAGATGATGCTGTGATGGCAGGAGAAGCTGGTGCAGGTTACCACGTCCCTTCCCATCACCATCTCATGTCCCAGCTAAGATGAGCGCATCCACACCCAGTCACTTATGTTCCATTCTCTTTGCCTTTGTTTATTTTCTTTATATCTTTTATTGCATCTAAAATCACCTTGTTTATTTATTTCATTTTGGTGATTATTACCTGCCTCTAATCCCAGAATATCATCTTCATGAGGGTGGGCTCTGGGTTGCTCACTGTTATGTCCTCAGTACCTGGAAGAACCTGGTACATAGTGATGCTTCATAAATATTTTCTGAATGAATCGATGAAGTGGCTTAAGTTGCAAACAGGAGGATTAGCCATGTAGAGAATTAAAGTCTATCTCTAAAGAAAAAAATAAGTTCAAATACAAGGGCTTTAACATTCTATTATACAATTTTGCCACTGATTTCTCATTTCCCATAGTTGACTGGTGAGTTTTTAAAATTGTTTTGAATAATGGCTATACAACCTACATATGGCTGTATAACCTCTATAGATTTTTATGGAGTATAACTCATTCAATCTTCATATTAGTCCTATAATAAGAGGTAAGGCAGGTATGTTAACACTCTTTTTACGAAGGATTTAACTGGCTCAGAGTCTTAGTGACTTGTCTGAAGTCACACAGTTGTTAAGGATAAAGTCTTCTGACTCCAGGTCCGATGCTTTTTCAAAAAAGAAATGATGTAAAGAGTATAACCATATTGTAAAGAATTTCTATCTTTCATTTATTCATTTAATCATTTTTAACAAAAATAAAATAATTTATGTCTGCTATGTGCAAGCACCATTGTGTGCTCTGGGGATGTAGCCCTGTGTGTGTTCGAGTGGGGGAAACAGATAATAAACAAATAAATGTATTATACAATTTCAGATAAGGATAAATGCTATAAAGATGTAAAGCCGTATAAGGAGTAGAATCTGATGAGAGAGCAGGGAGTGACCTTTCAGGTAAAGAGGCCTATCCAGGATATGGCCTGAGAAAAGTTTGAATAAAATTTGTCTAGATGGCAGAAGTAAGAGTACAGCAAATTCAGTTTGCAGATATTGACAATTTCATGTATCAAATGTATTCCCCAAAGGCTATGTCTAAATCAACCTTTTTCAAACAAAAGCAAACAAACAGCTAAAACTCAAAGATAAATATGGTTGGAATAATCCCAAGGAAGGAATTTCAGAGATAATACCCTTTCCTAATGTAAATAATGTAAAATAAAAATTTCCAGATGGGTTGATTATTTAATATATTTGCTTCATAAAAGAATACTTTGATTTAAGGGTTTTCTGAAAGTCAGGTACACCTGTACAGCAGGGCTTTTAGGGGGCTTTGAAATGAATATGTGTCCTTACATTTGAATGTGAGTGCATCTGAATCCCTTCAAACAATGGCTGGACATTGTTTGAATGAAATGAAACATTCCCAGGAAATGCCTCCTGTTGCTCTTTGGGCCCCCTGCCCCTTGAAACTCTCTCCAGAGCAAGATTGTTTGTTCTCTCGCTGATCCAGTGTGAGGCCAGCCGACTTTCAAGTCTTCCCTGAGATTTAGAAGATGTGTAATATTTTGACTTTCAAAGAACAGTATGAATACAAAATAACCATAGGATACTACAAATGCACTCAAACTGAAGTTAAACAGAATGTTATAGAATAAAAAGAATTGTTGTAGAATAAAAAGAATTGCTCCAAAGAATGTGGGGAAAATGACTTTAGGTTTTTCATACCTTCTATTGCCTTTTAAAGAACTGAACTTTAAACTTCATCTGATTTAACCTCCAAAGCGAATATTTCCAAAACGTGTCTACTTCTACATTTATCTCATCATTCCTCTGGAATAAAAGATGTTAAAATGAAAGTTGGCTTTTTGACAGTTTCATGAATTGAGTGGGGGGAAATTACTTGAAGTTATATAATATGAGTGATTGATACGTGAAATTTCATCCAAGGAAATAGACCTCACACTACACATTGCAACTTTGCAGAAAAGCTATTTCAAAAGCAAACCCATCAAAAATCCACCTTGTTCAAATTTCATAATCAGTCTAAAATTGTAACATGCCCAAACAAAAAAAATGCAAAAGTATAAAAAGTAATGATTTTTAAAAATTGAAATAGAATCGACTTGTATTAGTTTCAGGTGTATAACATAGTGACTTGATATCAAAATATATACATTCTTGAAGGCTATAGAATTTTATTTTATAGCAAAAAACCCCCCCAAATTTTACCATGAGTCTTTGGTAATGCCCTGACCACACTGTAATATGACATAGAGTCTACCAGTAGATCCATGTGTTATTTTCTAGAGCCTTGTATTTCAACTTGTTGGGCCTCTGGGTCATTCTGGCATGTGCTGTCTTCTCTGGCTTAATCATGTACTCCCACTTCAAAGACTGTGATCCCTGGACTTCTGGTATCATCTCAGCACCAGACCAGGTATGTGCTCCCTTGGGACCAGTGAGGAACAGCTGAAATGAGTGTGTTTCTGGCCAGCAATGCTGAGCCTTTCTCTTTTTCGACCTGGACCTCTAGGTACTTCCCAAACCCCAAAGACTTGATTTCTCCTCTTGGATGATATTATCACAGATCAGGTTCTAATACTGGGGAGTGAACATGTAAAAAGAAGGTATCTTACCTTGTCCTTGAAGGCAAGGACTGGGGCCAGGGTAGGGCTGGGGAGAGTGGAAGAGGACTTGAACCCATAGCTTTGGTTTTCAAGGCCACCATCAAATCTTTTTTTCTATCCATCACAGGTTGATTAATGCTGCTTTAATCTCAGATTGAACAAAATGACCCTTATTTCTATAATGCTTCTGCTCATGTCTTCTCATTATGGCTTAAACAATATCACCCCAATATATTACATTAAGCATGCTTTTTAAAATTAATTTTTATTGGAGTACAGTTGATTTACAATGTTGTGTTAGTTTCAGCTGTACAGCAAAGTGAATCAGTTATACATATACATGTATCCACTCTTTTTTAGATTCTATTCCGATATAGGTCATTACAGAGTATTGAGCTCCCTGTGCTATACAGTAGGTTCCTATTAGTTATCTATTTTATACATAGTAGTGTGTATATGTCAGTCCAAATCTCCCAATTTATCCCTCCTCCTCCTTTCCCCCCGGTGATCATAAGTTTGTTTTCTACATCTGTGACTCTACTTCTGTTTTGTAAATAGGTTCATTTGTACCATTATTTTAAGATTCCACATATAAGTGGCATCATATGATATTTGTCTTTCTCTGTCTGACTTATTTTACTCAGTATGACAATCTCTTTGTCCATCCTTAAAAACTCCATTCACGGAGAATATTCTCAGGAGGAGCTATCGTCTCTATCCTCTCCCCCTACATATACAACTGTCCCAATGTGTCCTGTGGCTGTTCCTCTCCCACAAATCTGGCTCCAGAGTAGAACCATAATACCTAGCCTCCCTGAAGACCTGTTTTAAGCATTTGTTTTTAGGATTTAGTTTCTAACATTAAGGGTAAACAGGCAAGAAAATAGCACACATTGCAAATGTAAAAAAAGTTAAAAGTTCCTGAATATTCTTAAGTTCATGCAACATTTTCCTTAAATGACTGTCCCTTTCCTATCCCTTCCCCTCCCCTACAGCTGCACCTCAGGTCCATGGAATTGGACTGATCATAACCTCATTTGTTAGCATTTAACAACGATAGTCCAGGCAAATTCCTTTATTGTTACTTTATTTTTTCTTTTTTTTTCCCACCTCCTTTTGCTAAAAAGCTACAATACAGTCCCACATTTCAGACACTGCTGATGAGACCACTAATCCCATCTCGTTTTGCCTCCTCTTCAGCTGATGCCATACTTCGTCATGGAGTTATTTGCCACAATGCCAGGACTCCCAGGACTTTTTGTGGCTTGTGCCTTCAGTGGAACTCTGAGGTTAGTGTATTGACTACACTTGGCAATAACGTTCTGATAATGATGATGGTGAGGATGGTGATAGCAAGGCAACCAGGATGACAAAGGTAATGGTGGTAGTCATTATCAGTATTACTGAGTATTCACTGTGTGTCAGCTGCCCTGCTGAATGCCTTATATGCATTTGCTCATTAGTTGTCACACATTATATGAGGCCGAAACTACTCATTATCATCAGCTTACAAATAAGGAAACTAAGATTTAGCAAGGTAGATAACTTACCCATGGTGAGACAGTAAACTACAGAGGTGGTATGTAAACCTAGGTCCGCCTTTGCACTAGATCTCTCTGTTTATTTTCTCAACCTTGTCTGATGCCAACTGCCCCCATGGTTTTGCATCACAAGGCAGCTCTCTCTGCTGGCATTTCTCATTCAGCTGCAATACATTCTTACAGGTCTATGCTTCGCAATCCATTCTCTCCATCTTCAATAACACACTCAGGCACATCCATATCCAAAATGTAAGAACATCCATATCCAAAATGTAGACATTATTCTAAGTACAAAATTTTTCACACATTTATTCTAACAAATATTTTAGAAGGTTTATATTATGCCAGGCACAGCTGGTGACAGTGGGGATACTTCAGGGAACAAGACTAGCATAAGTATTGCCCTGATATAGAGTTTTCATTCTAGCAGACATGGAAGACGGACAATATATAACTAAACAACAACAAAAAAGACAAGGCATTGTTTGATAATGACAAATAGTATAAAGGAAATGACAGAGTGATAGCCTAGAGAGAGGTTAGGTTTGGGGACTTTGTTTTTGATAGGGTCTTTAGTGAACTCCTATTTAAGTATATGACATTTGTGCTGAGATCTAACGTGTGTGGAGAAGCCAGCTCTGTGAAGATCACAGGCAGAAACTTTCACAGGCAGGGGGGAGGGCAAATACCAAAGCCCCAAGGAGATAATCTGTATGGAATAGTTCAGGATCCGAGAGAAGAGTTGAAGCATAAGGAACGGGGAGGACAGCAGATGGGGAGGAGCCTAAAGAGGCAAGCAGGCATCAGATCAGGAAGAACCTTTATGAAAGAATAAAGAGCTGGCATTTCATATTAAATAGGAAGCTTTGAAGCAAGGAGGTTTGATGATGTCATACAACTGAAGACTCAGTCTTTGTGGAGGGAAGTGGCTATCGCTAAAGCAAGATTGGTGAAAGTGGGTGACTATACAGGAGGCTTTTGCCTTAATCCAGGGTAGACATGATAGTGACTTGGAGAATGGGGGCAAGAGTGTTGAGAGCAATGGACTAAAACATTAAGACAGTATCACGTTTTTAAATTCCACATGGCAGTGATATCATATGGTATTTGTCTTTCTCTGTCTCACTTACTTCACTTAGTATGATACATATTCCCTTGATCAGAAGTGGGGTTGGCTACCTTTCCATACTTTCACTGGCCGTTTGTAGTTCTTTTTCTGTAAACTGCCAATTCATATTCCCTGCTATTTTTTTCTTTTGAGTTTTCTTCCTTATGTATATAAGAAAATAGCTTATTGACATATGTCTCATTTTTCTCATCTGTCCTATGTATATTTGCTTTATTAATAGTATTTTTGAGTATGTTGAGCTTCTATTTCATATTAATCAATCCTTTTACATTATGGTTTCTGGGTTTATATCATTCTTATGAAGGCTTCTCCATTCCATGTTTATAAATAATCATCCAGATATCAGCTGTCCCATTATTTTTTAGTAAAAAGCCACATTTTCACCACTGACTTGAAATGCTACCTTTATCACATCCTACTTTCTTTTATATATTTGGAACTTTTCCTGGATTTTCTTTTATATTCCTTTGATCTATTTGTGTACAGTTATGACAATACTAATAATTTTAGTGACTAAGCTTTAAAGTTTGATTTAAAATATGTTAGGTTAGTATTTATTCATTATATTTCTTTTACAGAATTTCCCTTGATATCAGATTTTTCCTAATTATTTTCAGTTAATTCTATAGAACTTGGGTGTACTCAAATCATAATACCTGCCAATACTTTTGAGTTTTCTTCTTTTCTAATAGTTACACTTCTATGTTCACTCTTATGTAATTATGCTTTGAGAACAATGATAAAAAATTGAGGGATTACAGAAATCCTTGTTTTGTTATGCACTTTATCTTTTTATTTTATTTTTTAATAAATTTATTTATTTATTTATTTTTGGCTGTGTTGGGTCTTCGTTGCTGCGTGCAGGCTTTCTCTAGTTGCGGCGAGCAGGGCCTACTCTTCCTTGCGGTGCGTGGCCTTCTCACTGCAGTGGCTTCTCTTGTTGGGGGACATGGGCTCTAGGCTCACGGGCTTCAGTAATTGTGGAAGGTGGGCTCAGTAGTTGTGGCTCGCAGGCTCTAGAGCACAGGCTAAGTAGTTGTGGTGCACAGGCTTCGTTGCTCCGCGGCATGTGGGATCTTCACAGACCAGGGCTCGAACCCATGTCCCCTGCATTAGCAGGCAGGATCCTTAACCACTGCACCACCAGGGAAGTGCCTGTTATGCACTTTAAAGGGAATTGTTCTTGGATTTTACCATTAAATATGATTTCAGGTTTTGGTTTAAACTATATTATTTATTTACATTTTAAAATATTTATATAAAACTAATAAAATCATAAAAAAGAACAAAAATGCATATATTTATTCTAATTTAAGAAATATTTTTATCAGGGAGAAATATTGAATTTTGGTAAACTATTGGCATTTTTGAAATGAGTATTTTTTGCTTTTTTAGCTTTTGGCATATTAATATTAACATGTTGACATTTCAAAAATAGCGACATCTCTTAATTCATATAATGACTTTAAATTGCTTATGGTATAATTTTAATTTAGTGTTCTGTTGAATTATTTTTACTAATACTCTTTGTAGGATTTTGCATCAGTAATATAAAATCATATTGTCCTGTGGTGTTGGTATTAGTATCTCAAGGAAACTAGGGACAGAAACAATGAACACCAGAGGATCAAACACAAGTAGCGTGACATGCTAGCTTTCATTTTGTCCTGCCCTACAGAGCTTTATTTATTTTTCTTAAAGCTGACTCCAGAATGGAGAAATATAGCTGTCAACAGATTAATTCCCCCATAAGAGAATGGTTGATTCTTTTGATCTCAAGTTCTAAACTTCCAAGAAAGAGACACTGGACAGTACATATTATAGAGAGATTACTATTACTATAACATTAAGGAGGATGTTGGGTTAAGGAAAGGGAAAGACAAGAGTGGGGGGTGGAGTAAAGAGATGGTGGTTGAGAGATAGGAAAAAAAAAAAAAGATTTTCACCATCTTGTAACAGTTTTAGAATCTGATAAATTGACATATAGATAATACATCTGACCTCAAAAGCAACCCAGTAAAGGTTCTACAAATCTGCTCCCTCTGGGCCAAAATCAGCTTTTTGTTCCCTCCCTCCCAATGGATTCAAGGGTTAACCCTAATGTTTGAAACTTTCAAATGATGGATTTTGAGCCATATATGTTGGGAGCGTGGAAGTTTATTTTATTTGATCATCTCCTTTCCTTATTTGACTTGCATGGATCTACAGATAGAAGAGGAGTCATATAGGGAACATCTATTCTACTAGCTAAAATATTCCTGGTCTAGATGAGGAATTTAATAAGCTTTCATGCTATTCTGCAAAGAAAACTCGAACTTCTTGGGTTTTCTGTCCACTGAGCGAGTTTTAGGGCTATAAGACTGAACTCTGGAAAGTCAGAGAGAGAATATCAGAGCTTTTATGTGCTTTTGGTCTTTGCCTGCTTCCTAGTCTTATCTTTGCCCCTTTCTCCCTTATTAATTGCATGCTAATCACACTGGGGCTTCCTGTTGTTGAATGAAACAAATTTTCCACCTGTAGGCATTTACTTGTAATTTTCCCTTTGTTCTAAAACATCTTTTTCTGAATTTGCATGGGTCCTTTCAGTGCCTATCTTAACCATCACTTCCTTTGGGAAGAATATCCTAACTTCATATCGATTTAGGCCTCTGAAAGACATGATTTCATAGCTCTGTTATTTTTCTTCATAACAATTGTAGTCAATTGTATAATTGGTTGTTAAATGTCTATGTCGCCAAGTAGAGTGTAAGCTCTATGTCTTTCTGGTTCACCATTGTATGCCTAGTACTCAGAATGAACAGATGCATAAATGGTATGAATGAATGAGTGAATGAATGAATGAATGGCATATTGTACTGATTCCTGGATTAGGATAGTCAGTACTTTCTGCCTCAAGTTTAACTTTCACACACACACACACACACACACACACACACACACACACACACAAAATCTCTCTGCTACTGCATGCTAACTCATTTAATGTCTTGTTAGGGGAATCAGTGAGAGTTCCAGCATGGAAGCCTAGCTTCTTCACTGGACTTAGAGGAAGACATCAAAGAGCATTAAGCACAGAAGCAGCTTTGAAGAGTGAGTAGACAGGTCATGTAGTTCCCCTGAAGTTCCAGAATAAGGACATATGTCTGTCTCTGTTTTTTTCTAGAGCCCTGCCTTATCTATTCGCCCTGGACACCAGGGCAGGCCGGTCAGCTTTATTTACCTTGGACTATGTTCTCATTTTTCTCTCCCTGTAGCACCGTGGCTGCCAGCATCAATGCCTTAGCAACAGTGACGTTTGAGGATTTTGTCAAGAGCTGTTTTCCCCATCTCTCCGACAAGCTGAGCACCTGGATCAGTAAAGGCTTATGTAGGTACAGCCGGTGGATCTTCTATTCCATATCATGAAATGAACGTGTGGTACGTGTCAAATCCTGCACACACTATTCAGGGCACTCTGACAGGCACAAGTGCATGTGAAGATACATGAGGAATCTCACACGTCAATTCTTACACTTCTGGAGATACCAGGAGGGTACTAGGAAAGAATGACCAGTTAGCTTAGCTTTTACCAACCTACATTCGACATTCTTCTGCGTTCATCCTATGCCCTAGATTCATCACATCAACACCTCTTGATTATGCCATGTATTGATCCTGTTTAGTCTCTCCACAGAGGAAGATGCTCTGCTCACTATCGCCAGTCAGCTTGTCTAATAAAGCCAAATTCTTTTCTAAAGAGTCCTTTATTACCAAATATTCTTCATTGGTTTTTAATAGTTTTAGTAGTAATAATATGCAATATAAAATTATTTTATCTATAAGAATATGTTTAATATTATATACTTATTTTCATTAAATTAAATTATTTATCAATTGCAGAACTAATACCATCTTGTTTTATACTATAGATTTGCAGTGTTTTATTTAAAATATCTGGTAGAGCAGCTCTTGTCAATTTTTGGGAAGAAATTTAAATGTTGTGACTGTTTTTTTTCTTTTTTTGCAAAAACAAATTTTGGGCTGTTCATGTTTATTTATTCTTTCAGATTAAGTTTAAAATAATTCACTGCATGTTATCTAGTTGCACACACACACCCCCATCTCAACAGAACTGCACTAAACTGAAAAACGTATTTGGAAATAATTAACATCTTTATAAGCTTTCCATCTAGCAATAGCATTTTGCATTTAACACCATATTTTCTCTCTTAGATATTAATTATCCTCATGTCTTCATCCTTCTGCTTCTCCCCCTCCTCCCTTTTCTTCTCCTCCTCCTTCTACTTCTTTCATCGATATTATGAATGGAATGTTTTCCCCATAATATCTTCTAAACTGTTTACTATCAACGTGGAAATGCTATAGCTTTTTGTTTTTGTTTGTTTGTTTTGTAAAGCACATATTTGGCCATTGGCACAACTTTTGTTGATTCTTAAAATTTTAATTGATTTTCTAATAAGTGTGGTTATTGCCTACAAATATTGATAGTTTTATCGTACCCTTATTCTTAAATACTCCCCTAATTTGGGGTTTGTGTTCTCCATATTCTTCATTATTTCTCTTATTTTCATAGCTTTGTCCTTTTCCTCTGCAAGCTTGAAGGGCTCAGGTTTTTTTCTCAATGTTACTTTAAGTTCTCCACAAAGTAATTTTCTTAATAATAATGATTTGAATTCTGCTGTTGTGTTTTGTTCCTCACATTTTACTATAAAAATTCAATCATACAGGAAAGTTTAAAGACATTTACCATGATCTCCTGTATATATGCCACCAAGATTCTCCATTAATGTTTTATTAAACTTGCTTTTTCACATATCTATCTAGCTCTCTATCCATCCATTAATGCATCATATATTTGATACACTTAAAAATAAATTGTAGACATCAGTACACTTTCCCCTAATTATTTTAGCATATTATTAACTAGAATTCAATAATTGGTTAAAGTTTTTTAAATGTAAAATCTACCCACAATGAATTGGACAAATGTTAAGTATACATTTGCTGAGTTTTGGAAAATGTGTACACCTGTGTAACTCAATCACTAAAGATATAAATCATTACTATGACCCTGGAAAGTCCTCTTGGTTATTCTGGTAATTCCTACTCCCAATTCCCTCTAGGGGCAGCTACTATTCTGGTGTTTTTCATCATAGATCAGTTTTCCCTCTTCTAGAATTTCATATAAATTGAATCACACAGTACCACTCTTTTTTGTAAGGACTCCTTTCACTCAGCATAATATTGTTGAGATACACCCATGTTTTTTTTTGTATCAGTAGTTTATCCCTTTTTATGGCTGAGTAGTATGGCATTGTATGGATTTACCTTTTTTTTTTAACTTCTATTTCTATTGAAGGTTGTTTCAGTTTGAGTTTTTTATGAATAAAGCTGCTATGAATATTCTTGCACAGGTCTTTTTTGTGAACATGTTTTCATTTCTCTTTGGTAAATACCTAGGTGAGGAAGTGCTTGGTCAACTATTATAATTTTTAATTTCCTTATAGTTCTTCCTTACCACACCTGGATTCATCTTCATCTAAACTTATGGGTGTTGCACCCTACTTTGTTGTGTTTTCATATCATTTGCTTTCTCTTGAACTGCACTTGTTGCGTCATTGAATCTATGTGTTTTGCATCATATTGAAATTGCCAGTTTCTAAATACTTTTTTTCTGGCTCTTAAGTATTTCCAGAAAACATATTCTGTATTTGAGTTTTCAGGTTAATTATTCATTTCCTTGTTTAGTAATATTTTGGCATGGATCCCATATTTCTTTTTTTCTTTTTCCTTATGCTTGAACAAGGAGAGATTGGTGCTGACCGAATGTTTGTTAACTGGGTAGTTGAATTGCCTTAATTTTTTCACTATCTTGCATAATGAGTTACAGCTAATAGCAGGTGGATTGGCATCACTCCTGGTGCAATTCCCAATTTCTAGCAGACATTCATGAATATGCTGGGTAGAAATTCCTCTTCTGCCCATGGTTTATTGTCTGATCCTCCGAGCTTATGTAGCACTTGGAAAATCCATAGTATTTGCTGCAACGGTGGTGCTTTCTCTACCCGCCCCCCAACACATTTACTGCTTTGTCTGTGGATCCGTGCACTCCAGGTATCCATGGAACCCCACCAATTTCCCCTAAACTCGCTGCCTTGCAGGTTGCTATTGATTGCAATCTGGTGGAAGTGTAAAGATATGGGGGAGAGGGGGACTGAATCAATTCTCTAGTCAGCACAAAAATGTAGAACCTTGGATTGAGGGGTGGTTGCCTAGAATCCCATTTGAAACAGATAACCGTTGGCCCAGCAAGAGGGTAATCGGTAGCAGAGAAAAGACACTTTTGTTATTTTCTTCAGGCAGGTGGAGTTCTGCTTATTCATGAAGTGAAACAGAACGAGGGCAAACATTGTTTCTAATCTATCATCTTTAAATATAATGAGAACAATTTTAGAATTCTGAAAGGTGTTTATTGATCAAACTTGGATTTCAGTGTTGTGTGAGTTTCCTTATTTTTCTGTGTTTTATTGAGAAGTTGGAAAATATAGCATTAAAATTCGCTATCCTGATTTCATCTTAAAAGTGAATTCCTGATAATAAATTTTAGAGATATCATGTACTAAGTCTGAAATGATGATGATGATGATAATAATAATGATAATAATAATAATGGCAAGCACATAGTACTTGCTATGCAACAGGCACTGTTGGATAAATTAATTTATTTATGTGTAGTCCCTTCCTAAAATGTGAGATCTCTGGGGCAGTGGCATTTATAGCACTGGCATTTAGTAAAGTGCTTGACATATGGTCAGTACTCAATAAAATTGCATTAATGGTGACATTGGGAACTCAGCCAAATATTTAGCTGAGAGAGAATTTCAAACAGAATGAGAAAAATCATTTTCTCTATTTCTGTCACTGTGTGTCTGTCTAAATCCATCTCCAGCACCTTGTCTCTCTCATTTAGTCTATGGATTGTAATGGGAATTGAATGACTTTTAAGATAGTTTTTAAACAAAGATGTAGAAAAACAATTATTTTTAAAAAGATCGTTTGAAACAAGACATCACCTTTAAAAGATTACTAAGATGGATATGTTGATTCATCCAACGAGATCCTATGATGCTGGAGGCTCCCTGTGCAAGATGCTGCAGAGCGCGGTACCCTGATGGCCCTTATGGTGCTCCAACATAGCCATGTAAACAAAGAAATCGTTACACAGTATACTGAGGGCCATAATGAAGGTATGAATAAAGCATGAAAAGACCAGAAAAATTTTCCAGATTTGCAAAATCTGTGAGGTAAACTGTATAACTATTTAGCCATTTTAATGATGAAAAACTATCCATATCCCAGAGAGGTTAGTAACGTCTTCAGCTGATTATTGGTGAGTGGTCGAAATGGATTTAATTCTCACGAATTTAATCTGGATTAGCCTAGTAGACCAGTGACCTTTCTGCATTTTCATGTTGCTTCCACAGGACAGTTTTCTTCTTCTTTTTTTTTTTTTTTAAAGATTTTTTGGATGTGGACCATTTTTAAAGTCTTTCTTGAATTTGTTACAACATTGCTTCTGTTTTATATTTTGGTTTTTTGGCCGCGAGACATGTGGGATCTTACCTCCCTGACCAGGGATCAAACCTGCACACCCCTTGCATTGGAAGGTGAAGTCTCAACCACTGGACCACCAGAGAAGTCACCAGGACAGCATTTTTCTTAAATCTTGTAGAGAAGACTCCTCAAGGCTGGATTCCAGCTCATTCTGCCTGACCTAGGAAAGCATGTCTTTGGGAGAAGGTCTCTTAAATGGCCCTCTTGGGGCTTGTGATGGCTAAGTGGGGTGGACAGTCCTTCCTGAGACCCCTTCTGATAGGGCTTACATGAGAGACGGCCCTGGGCGGGAGTTCAGTGGATCCCTCAAAGCCAGCTTGGATGATAGTCATGAAGTTTCTTTCCTCCAGGTCTCTTGTTTGGCATAATATGTACCTCCATGGCTGTGGCTGCATCCCTCCTGGGGAGCGTTGTACAGGTAATGAAAGAGGAAAAAGACACATTTGATTTTGTAGCAACTTTTTATCCACCTTCTTTTCTAATACTTTTCCTATTCCTCCAAATCCCAAATGCTCATACTCTCCGATACCAGGTCCAAGTTACACATGCATGTAAAATTTCAACCAAAATTTCTTTCAAGAGGGGAAACTTTTAAAAACTAGTAATGAGACTCAGTGACAAGGTACACTGTAATAAAATTAGAAAACCTTTTGAAATCCAGATCTGAGAATGTATGATCCTGAGATAAAAGTAGGAATGATAATCTTAGCAGGAAAAACAATAATTACAACTGACATTTATAGAATGCTTATGTTCAAGCTACCATCCCAAATGTATTATCTCATCTAATCCTCGTCACTTCTCTATGAGGTAGTATGATTAATGTACTAATTTTATAGATGAAGGAAACTAAGAAATAGAGAGGTGAAGAATTGCCCCAAATTCACATAATGAAAGAGTGGTGGAGCTGGGAAATGGGCCCGCCCCTACCTGTTATCCAGACTGACCTGTCTCCCATACGTCCAACTCCCAGTTCCATAAAATATCAGCACTAGAAAGAGCCTCAAGGATAATCTGTTTCAACATTCATTTTGTAGATGGTTACAGAAAAGAGTGAAAGTATCCTGCTCAACTTCTCACGTCTGGTTAGTGGCTAAACCAGGTTTACCAGCAAAGTGTCTGGAGCCACCCCTCTTCCCTTCCCAAATTGCCCAACTCACAAAGGACCATTAGATAAACCAATCTTCAGATTCTATTTCAACCCCCTCAGTCCCATTGGGTCATTGTATAATTTGAACATCTTGTATACTTTCTTGGCATGGATTAGGTTTTCAATAAATGCTGCTTAAATGAAGACATGAACAAGAGTGAGTGAATAGTCATCACTGACTTTTATAGAATGTGTTTTAGTTCCCAGAGCAGTGTATCTTGCTTGATCCTTCCAATGACTACTTACATAGGTTCCATTATTTCCTTTTTCAAGTTCAAGGAACTAAGTCTAAGGGAGTTGAGTGACATGATAATTCACTTTCTATATAAGAGAAGTTGTGGGGCTGGAAACTTGATGTCCTCCCTGCTAAGTATGAACTTTTTAAAATGACAGATATTTGGTGATTTCTTTACAATTTTTGAAGCACTCTGATATCTACCCATCCACACAGCAGAACTGGTGGATTGATGAGGTTTGTCTTTAGTGACCTCTGCAGCATTTTTTTAGGTTTATTTTATCCCATTTCCAAGTTGCCTCTAATGCTTTGTACCCCTTTCTTTTCTCCCCTTTATCTAATTATTATTTACTCTTAAGAAAGTATCACCATGTTCAATTTAGTGAGGATTTGAATCACTAAATTGTTTCCTTCAGAATTATTTGCATATTAAGCTTGTTTGCCATTGAGGTATGAAGGTTCTGGAATAGATAAAGACTCCTGCAAGGCTGGTGTAACACATAAAACTTATAAGGAAGAGGAAGTTGTGAGTGATGCTCTCGTTGACTTGTCCTTATTCAGATAAGTATGCTAGCCTCACTTTCTTCGTTGGTTAAAATGTGTTCACACAGTTTAGGGGACAATGAAAACACTGATGTGTTGTTTCCTAGGAGAGATATTTGTGTCTAAAATGGCCCCCTCATTTCTCCGAACACATCTGACTTGACAGGTGCAGAAAGACTATAATCCCTCTATTTAATTTTCCAAACAGCTTTGCTAGATCTAATGTAATAGAATAATGTATTCAGGGAATATGGAAGACTGAAACCAAACATCCCATAAGTATACAGCATAGAGCCAGATTTCATTTCATGTTCACAAAAACGACACACACTCATGGCGTGTGTTCGTTGGTGGTGCTGGGGGTGGGCAGATGTCAGCTCCTTAAACAAAGCCCTTTTCAGTGTTTTAGTTTAGGATTTTCAAAGTGTTTTCCAGAGACCCTCACCCTGGGAAATGCCCCAAGAGTGAAAATTTCCAAAGTCAAAGACTTTTGGGAAATGCTGCACAATGTGTTCCCCTTTCAGAAATCCACAGCACACAGTAGCATATCGAAGGCTCTGGGAAGACCTAGCAAGAAAGCTGTTTCCCTTTAAATATGTGACCACAGAACCAAATGCGGGGAGAAGAGATAGGAGGAGGGGCAGGTAACAGCAGCAAAGATCTGTTAACTAGTGATTTGCGGAGCTCCCTCCGAGAAAGGCCATTCTGTCCATTATGCTGCTATCCTACTGACCCTCAGCTAGTTCTACCAAGGCTTGTCATGACCTCCAGGAGTCTTCTTTTCTCAATTTAAGAAAGTGCTTTCTTTTTTTTTTTTTCTTTTATTTGGGGGGAGTGGTCTTCCTTCCTTCCCTCCCTCTCTCCTTCCTTTTTTTTCTTTCCTTCCTTCCTTCCTTCTTCCCTCCTTCTTTTTAAGTATAAAAAAAGTACTTTCTAGCTCTCAAAACAGTCCAACCATCAAATGGCCCACTTCAGGAATCAGAGAGCTCACTAACAGGGTAGGTAAGAGGATAATAGTAAGATTATAATAGTAGATAATATTTGGGGGGCAATTATCGTGTGCTCCAGAGTGCCCAGGCACTATTCAGAGACTTCTTTTGGATTCCACTTTGAATAGTCTCATACACGCACACAAAAACAACCCAGGAAGCAGGTACTTTGATCCCCACTTGACATCTGAGAAAGCTAAGACACAGCAAGGCAACCTCAGTCCTAGAACACACTTTCTGAGCCATTGTCCTTTCCTTGCAGGAGGGGCTTAGGTGAGATTTGGCCACTGAGGTGGAGGTTGTCAGATGAGCTCTGTCTTCCTCCAATTAAACACACTTAATGACAACAAAAAAAGAAACATAAGAAATTGAGGTTAGTTTTGTACATTAAAGAAATACATATTTTTCAAATCCAGAAAGTCTTTGATTTATTTCTCTTTCTAGCATGTGAAGACTTTTTTCCCCCTGGGGCATATTGGCTAAGGACTTTGTAAGAGATTGTTCATTTTCTCTCCCACAAGAGGAAATAAACATTTTTCCTAACTTATTGATTCTCCCATATAATAGCTAGTAAATTAACTTCCAAATTCAGCAACCACAGCAACTATGAATTAATACTATCAATCAGCAGAGAATATGTCAAGAATATTAAGTATTGACGTTAGGGAAAAGTATCTACTTTAATCTTATTTGCCTCCATCTTGTCAAAGATCAATCTGTATCATTGACTTCTCTAAAAATTATCCTGGAAAAACAATCATAACAGTACATTGTAGCTCATTTTTCTGGATAAATTAATTTATATTGCAGCTGGAGTGGACTTGAAGGCCCCTTGGTCCTATTTCTATTTTTTATAGAGAAAGAAGACTCTCTGAAGTAAAATGAATCTGAGTTAATAACTGAAGGTTCACCAAATTATGTGTTATGTGTGGCAGGGCCAAAATTTGAATCTCAATATTCTCTTAGTGCTGGACTCTTTCAAGAACTTTTTCCCCTTAAACAGACAAAGGAGACCATGATGGTGGTCTGTGCTCTTGACTTTATCTATTTTTTATTTTTTAGGTGGGACTGCTCTTAGGAGAGAAAATGTGGGTTTCAGAGCCAGACAACCCTGGCTTAAAACTCTTAAATCTCATCTCTGCCACTTTCTAACTGAAAGTATACTTTTAATATGTTTTCTCTCAGTCCAAATTTCTCATCTATAAAATCCAGTTAGTGCTACCAACTAAGCAGGGTAATTGTGGGGATGAAATGAGGTCATTTATTTAGAGTGCCAGGGTATTTCATCTTTATTATCTGACACATAAGACACATAGGGGTGCCTGACAAATTGGAAATATGTATAAAGTCTTTACAGCATCCTTATCACAGCCACTTTATCTAAGAGCCCTGCAGTTGTATTGATAGAACTAGACAGGGCTGCATTGCAGAGTAGCTTTGTGTGTGTGTGTGTGTGTGTGTGTGTGTGTGTGTGTACGTGCACGCGCGCACGCACATATGTGTGTACATGCTCCCTTGCAGGCATGTCAGTGCCTGTGTACGTTCAAGACTTCTGCAAGGCCATGGCCCAAGGCTATAGGTTGATAGAAAACTAGCTTAACTAAAGCCCCTAACCAGTTCACCGGCTTCAATAACTTAGAGATTAAGAGATATGGAAATGCATTTGCCAAACTCTCTCTATATCCAAAGGAGACAGAGCCATGAAAATGGGTTATAGGATATGGAATGTCCAATGTCCTCCCCATCATGTCCCAACTTAATGCTTCAACATCCTTGAGGTATTCTGCTGGGATAGCAGGAGTGGGGTAACAGACAATTATTATTATTAAAATTATAAAATTATTCAAACTAAATTAAAACAGCTGGATCAACTACCTGAGATATTCAACATAAGTTATAGATGTATTTATTAGGTACATTATTTAAAAAGCTTTTGATAAGATAGAAAATATAAACAAATCAATAAGTTCCAGCTTGAGGGAAAACTTATTCTACCAAATCCAAATTGCCTGTGTGTGTTTACACACACGTGCACACCCTCACACACGTATGTTTGTAGGCGTTTTTGGTATTTTACATACACAGTGCTTATTAATGAGCCCAGAATGGAGAAATGATTTCCAGGAAGCACATGATTCATGAGTGGCACAGTCAGGACTAAGACTGTATTCCATCTCCGGTCCAAGAAAGGGGGTGGTCCTAGGTGGGCCACAGATTCAGGGGAGTGTAGTGTTGATCTGATCTGCTTTGATCCACAGGCTGCCCTCAGCATCCACGGCATGTGTGGGGGACCGATGCTGGGCTTGTTCTCTCTGGGAATCCTGTTCCCTTTTGTGAACTGGAAGGTAAGTCTCCCACACCCCTCTTCACACTTCCCAGCTGAGACTGGGCCCCAGACATTTTCTCCCTCCTCTCAGTCCTCCTTGGAAACGCTATTTGTCTTTGCCAGAAAAAAATGGGGGCTTCTTTCTACAGCAGAACTAAATAGAACCTCAGCCTTCCAATCTCTGACTTCAGTGAAGCTGTATTAGGAGCAGAAAGCCGAGAAAGTAGTGGTCATGAAATACCATATGTCATGGCATCAAACCTGATTCTGTAGGGTTTAAATTGTCTTCTCTAAATTAAGAGCCCACAAAATGAAATTTAAAATAGATATTGAGGTCAGACATAGTTTAGTTAAAACATGATTTTGAAAACTTTAAAAATGTAAAATTTTTTTCTATATTTAGTTACCCAAAATTATAAGTAATTTAATTAATTAACTAATTTAAGAAAGGGCGGGGAGACCAGCCTGGTATATTCTGACAGCTGAATCTTCTTGGTGTTCTTGGCTGACAAGCTAGTGGTTTGCCTTTAAGTAAACATTGGTTGGATGACTGTGTAGTAAACATAAATCAAAAGGAACACTTATTTGGAAAAATAGTACTATAGTAATATTTTTAAATATTTAAAAATATAATTTTTTCAATCTAGAAAAGTTGCCATTTATTGCCATTCATCCACTTACATGCAAATCTTTTTAGAAAGTTTTTAGACTCTAGGAAACCTGACTGTATGCATATTTTTATTTATTTACTTAGTTCTTTTTTTTTTTTTTTTTATGCGGTACGCGGGCCTCTCACTGCTGTGGCATCTCACGTTGTGGAGCACAGGCTCCGGAAGCGCAGGCTCAGCGGCCATGGCTCACGGGCCCAGCTGCTCCGCGGCATGTGGGATCTTCGCGGACCGGGGCACGAACCCGTGTCCCCTGCATCGGCAGGCGGACTCTCAACCACTGCGCCACCAGGGAACCCCAGTTTTTCATATTTTTAAATATACTATAGAAGTCTTGATAAAGCCTGAGCTACATGGTATACCTAATTAGGTCTCTGTGGCTACCTGACCCTTATTGACCTCTATTCTAGATAAATCTTGTGTAGATAGGTAAAGAGACTGGATAGATGTGAAACATTTGGGAATTTGTGGTGCTTCCTTGCAGTCTTATTAGGTGACACTTTGTTTTAATCAACTTTTCTGAGATTGAGGTTGACAGGGATAGTTTAATTCTTGCGGAGATAATATGAGGAAAGGTAATTTCCTAGCTACAAAAAAACCCTAATAACTAGCAACATAACAACTTAGTTCATTCTAAACATTAATTTATCTATGTTAGCGAGTTACGGTCCTGCTATTTAATCCAGGAAACCACCTTGTTCTAGAGAGAGGAAAGTAAATAATACCAATTGGGGTCACCTCTCCCCTTGTTGTTAGCCATGGTTGATCGTACTAATCGATCATGGCTCTCTTTCCACAGAATGTGGATGCAACCTCAGAATCCTTCTCAGCACGGCTCTCCAGGCAGCTACTATAAATCAGTGAGGGCTGACTCTCCTACTGAAGTCCATTTACCCTTTACTGGTAGGCCAGGGGCCAGCATACTATATCCCTCAAGCTAAATCTAGCTGATCTCCAGTTTTTGGGTGACCTGCAAACTAAAAATGGTTTAGACATTTTTAAATAGTTGTCAAAAATCAAAAGAAAAATAATACCTCATGACACATATATATTTTGTGAAATTCACCTTTCAGTGACCATACGTAGTGTTACTGGAACACAGCCACTCTCCTATGTATATATACTGTCTATGGCTGTTTCTGTGCTGTGATGGCAGAATTGGGTAGTTGTGACGGACACTGAATGGCCCACAAAACCTAAAATACTCCTTAGTTGGCTGTTAAGTTTGCAGACCACTGGTCTAGACCAAGGGCCCAGGTATTCGAATCATACACATTGCTTTAGTTTCCCCCAAACTAAAATGAGCAGAACATTCTGGTGCTGTAATTGAGGAGTCTTTTTTTCTGAATAAATAGAGAAACCAACAAGTTGTTTTCTGTCACAGAGAAGGCTCGGCTATCTGGCAGAGACCAGCAACATCCAGTGGTCGTGATCCCTGCTCGATCGTTCTGCTTCCTTTACAGGAGAAATGACTCATTGACTTTTAACTTTTTATCAAGAAGTATGACCCTTAAATGACAGGACTAGTAAATATACTTGCTAGTAGTTAGACTCAAACTAAAAACTCAAAACTTGGGAGTCAGAGGACTTGAGCAGAATTACTTGGGAAGAGCTATGAGGGTAAAAGTTTCTATATAGTAGTAGCTTATAATGGCTGTCAGTGAAAAATGACCCCAGCAACTCTATTATCTGAGGTTTTCCTGAATTTCTGAAACTCTTCTACTGGAAACTGAGGTTCAGCAGATGTTGAAGTGATGAGGAAGAAGCCAAAAAGGAGAAAAAAAATTCCTGCTAGAAATTTTACATGTAATGCCCACAGTAAAACCCTCCAATGTCTTCATTTAAGGAACCATGTATTCCTATGTAAAGCTACATTGTGGGGGGTTGAAGGCAGGCAGTGTAAGTGGGCTGTTTCTAGTACATGTGGCCAAGATCTGGGGTAGAAAACCAGAATCCCTGAGATACAAGACATCATCATCTCATTATTCTTTCAATGGCTTTGTCAAATCTCTCATTACTTTTTTTTTTTTTCTTCTTCATCAAGGGTGCCCTAGGAGGCCTTCTGACTGGGATCATCTTGTCATTTTGGGTGGCCATTGGGGCCTTAATTTACCCTGCACCAACCTCCAAGACATGGCCTTTGCCTTTATCAACTGACCAGTGTGTCCCATCAAATGTGACAGAATCAGTGCCTCCACTGCTGTCCAGCAGGTATGCTGACCTTCAGGATAGCATCAGGTCCCAGAGAGAGGGTCACCAGGTTAGAGAAAAGTGCATTCTTCTGTGCTAAGTCTGAGGAGACCATCTTGCTCCCCTATGAGAATCGCTCTGGGTAGTACCCATCATTGAAGAGTGTCTGGGGGCTCCAGCTTTCTGTAAATATCCATCCCTCTGCATCCTGATGCCCAAGAGTGAACTTGGCAAGAGGGCTAATTGGAGGTCTGAGTTCTCAGGTCCACTATGTTGTTTCTTCCTTACTGCCTGTGCTTATTCTATCCTCTTTTCTTGGAATGCTAAATCCTAGCCCTAACTGCCTTCTTTGATTGATTAAAACTAACCATTTAAAAAAAATAAGTTGAGGCATCATCTCACATATCAGCCTGGGTTTGACACTCTTTCTGAATATTCTCCAAATCCTTTGTTTCTCTTCCACCACGGCGTTTTAGCCTATTTTATGATTGTCAGCTCCTACATGTAGACTTTGTGGCTTACTCATCTTTAATCTCCAGTGTCTGTCACAATTTCTGGCACTAAATCTGGGCCTTGTAAATGTCTGAAGAATAAATAATGCAAAAGAAATGGAAGGCACAGTCCTCATTGCAATTGTGGTTCAGTAGCAAGACTTGTAATTTACAGACGGATTGGGTTGAGTGGAATATAAAGTACAACTAGTCTACAGTCGGTTTTTTTAAAAAAATAATCAAGTGACAAAAAGTTAAGCTTTGGGGGTTTTGAGAGATGCCAGTCCCTAAAATGAACCCTCGGCTGTCCTGTAAGTCACTGTGAATCCTGACTTCACACACACGGAACTGATGATGTGCCATTGTTCTCTGCAGACCTGCCATTGCTGAGACCTGGTATGCGCTCTCCTACCTATACTACAGTGCAGTAGGCTGCCTGGGATGCATGGCTGCTGGAGTAATCATCAGCTTTGCGACAGGTCGGTTACATGCCTTCCTCTTCTGGGGACCAAGAAAGACGTGGGCTGGTCTCACCCACTTCTGGACTAGGCAGCTGTCTTATGGGTCTGAATTTGGGTCCACCACAAAAAGTCCGTTTTCCCAAAGAGATATTCTCTACTTTCTCCAAACTGACATGTAAAGGCATCCCCCTGATTATTGTACACATGATTACTAATATGTATAGTGTATTCTTAAATATGCCCCATATAGTATTAAAAAAAGATCTTTAGACACATGGCCCTCAGGGGCCTGAGTAGGAAGAATCCTTTGCAATATATCAGTAAGAAGATTAAATATTAAGAGTGGTTCTTTTCCCCTTCATCTCAGTTTTTTCCTTATAAATGCCTTACTATCTCATGGGTTAGCCTTTACTAACCTACTAGATAAGCAGAGGAGAGTCTTACTGTTGCTTTTGCATATGGTGTCCTTCGGAGGCCAGTCCTCTAGGCCCAGGAGTTCTGCAGTGAGCAGCTTCACTCTACGCCATTTCTGGTACCAGTGTTGACTTCCCCCCTGTACCTTGAGCCATAGTCCCTCTGATGGTTCAGTGTCCTTTTTATGCCAAAGCTCATGAAGGATTGGTGGGGGAGGATGGCATGGAATAGGCCCACTGTAATCTACTCTGCCTCTTTGGAGTATGCAGTTTAGCTGAATCAAATATTAAGATATTCTAGTTTTCCACTACCATGATATAGTCACAGGCTATACGGGAAGTCAAGATTCCTACTTAACACAAAATCTGAATGGCAATATTCCTGGTGACTTAGAAACACTGTGTGCAAGCTCCAATGCCTTATTGCTCTGGCCAAGAGATCACCAGCTCTTCATTTAAATTTAAGCCAATCTTGGCTATGATAAGGAATAGAACATAAATTTTGTAACCCCAGCCATTCATGAACTCCCCAAATATTTTTCTTTATGGAAAATGGGCTCAAATGAAAGGTGGTCTATTTATGGTGCTTAGATTTTTTCCTCAGTGCCCTAACAACCATGGAGGCTTCCTTGATCCTAGTAGGATACACCTAGACTTATCAGTTGAGTGGTCAGTCACCTTTAGAAGACAGCTAGAGTTTTAGCTGCCTGGTTCCAAAGCAGGTATTGTGGGCATCATAAATTCTAGGTATTTTCCAGATGCTTGTTGGAATTGACATGTTCTTGTGTTGATGCAGCAGCCATTATGTTGTATTTAGATGGAAACTTCTTTGCCATCTTGAGCACAAACAACTTTGTCCTTGTATCAACCCTTGTGTTTTATTTTTCTACAAATATCCAAAATCTTAGGGAAATGTCCTTAACACCAAAAGGAAGCACTTTATCAGAGGGTAGTTATGGCACTCGACCAAATCTTTGAAAATAGTTTTGATCCTTGCCTCCTGGTACCTATCTTCCAAATGAGGCCCTAGTGCTATCTGAACACCTTCAGGTCTGGTCACAAAGGGGCTTTCATAAACCTTCTATAACACCCAGTGAATCTTTAAAAACGTCTTAAAATGTTAACTGTTTTCAGGACAGGGTCAGTGGGGAAGCCAGAGGCCTTTTGTGGGCCTGCTCATCGTTTGTCGTATATTGTCTTGTTCTTGCTATTTGTCTTGCTTGGTCTTAATAGGTGATCATTTCAATTCTGCTTCTTCTAGATGATCTAGCACTTCGAATATATGCTATTTATGTTACTCATAAAATAGAATTATGTCTATTTTGATTAGTATCTCCAGATGGTTTATATCATTAATGATTCTCTGCATCAGCTATTAAAAGGTGATCTTGGCCCAAGATATACCTTAAAGTTTTTGTTATTACTGGTAAAATTCTACTGGGCAGTTAAGAGTTGTTTTCCTTTATCTCGTTAACCTCGTGAAATGAAAATACCATTTCCTAAGTCAAGAACAAATATCTTCATCAGTTTATTAGGTGGCCAGAACCTCCCACTCTTGAGGGCACTGTGTGGGTTTATTCTAGTCTGGTTTCCACTGCAAAGCAGTTTGTACTCGTGTGAACCTTCCCAATTTGTTTCTTCATGTATCATGTAGCTACAGGTCTCAGATATAAAACCTTTAATTATCAATTCATTAAGTTTATCTCTTAGGTCGGGGGTCAGTAAACTAAGAACACATTTGGTCCATTACTTCTTTTTATAAATAAAGTTTTATAGAAACACAGTCATGCCCATTCATATACTATTGTCTCTGGCTGATTTCACTCTACAAAGGTAGAGTTGAGTAATTGCAACAAAGACCCTCTGGCCATATGTTTACCGTACACATATATATGATTCCTGACAATTTAGAATGTAATCTATAACATTTCTGTGACAAGATCAAAGATCCAACACAGAGGTTAGTAAACTTTTTACGTTAAAGGCTAGACAGTAAATATTTTAGGCTCTGCTGGCCTGAGACTCTGGTTCCACAACAGGGTTGAAGGAATAGGACATTGAACAGGTATGTTTTAATGATAAGGAAGGAGATGTCAGGGAAGTCCAGAGTAGCTGGAGGAAACATGAAGGTATTCCTTGTTCAGGATGCTGACATGAAAGGAAGAAAAAACAGTAAAAATAATCTTCCTAATTTCACTAATACTGATTCTGATGACCTCTAATAGATCTGATTTGGTGGAAAACTGAGAGCTTTCCTAAAGGAAGAAATTATATAATTCCTGTAATCTCCTCTGCTGGCCTACAAAGGGTACTAGGAGGGTTTTCCACAATAAATATTTAAAAATAAATATGTTGTTTCTATTTGTTTAAGGCCATGAGTTTGCCTGACCTAACAGTTTGTGGATGTTTAAAAGCAAACTCTCACTTTTTTGAGCAGTTACCAATTTCTGTATTTTAACCAATCAGGCCTCTTTTCACCCTTCTCCTAAGAAGTGACCTGCTTCTCAAGTGGACAATGCTTAAATCATCAAAGAAACTCCTGGAAGCGTGCAACAACTTACCCATTTTTCCTTTTGTTAATAGGTCACCAAAAGGGCAAGGATATTCAACCGCTGCTAATTAGACCGGTTTGCAATTTATTTTGCTTTTGGTCCAAGAAATACAAAACACTGTGCTGGTGTGGTGTTCAGCATGACAGTGGAACAGAGCAGGTGAGCTGATGTTTGAGCTTCTGAATAATGTGAATTGGCTCAGAAGGATTCCCTTTCTGCCCATTTAAACCATCTACAAGGCTGGGTGCAAGGAGGGAAGGCAGTGGATATGAGAACCTGAAAGAATCTGGGTTTCCACTTCAGTTACCTCAGCTAACTAGTTCTTAAGCACGTAAATTATGTTGATAGGTAAATGTGCCTTTGGGCTGAATTGTCGTTGCAACTGATCAAGTTCCAAAATTCCCTTTAATCCCTGTGAGGGTAAATTCTAGGAAAATTTTTAAAAATTAATAATAGAAAAGGAAGAAAAGAGGGGGCACATCTAGTATAATGGTGAAAAGCATGGGCTTTAGAGTCAGCCCTGGGTTTAACCCTGGTTCCATGTCTAATTTTCCTTGGGTGAGTTATTTAACCTCTTGGAACTTCAGCTTTTATCTGTGAACTGGGGGGAAACCATGCACCGTGATCTACACATGAACATCTCCAGTGTGCCATGAGGTGTAAATATAAAGTAAGATTTATTGGTGGAACTTCTTAGGTAGAGAAGTGACAGGATCTGCATAACCTCCCAGCTCTCCCCTTGTCCCGCTGAGAATTGTGTTTAGGCCACACAGGGCTAGGGACATTGTTCCAGTGCTATTAAGGTCTAGAGACACTGTCTGAGTACGATTAAGGTCATATCAGCCCAAGACCACCAGGAACAGCCTGTGGTCAGACCAAATTGGACTTATTGACTTGATACATACAGCAAGGGGACAGGGCTACCCCAGGGGAACCAGGGAGTGCCACCCTCAACAAGAGGGTAAAGGTTCGGGCTCCCACTGAAAGATTCTGAGAAGGGTCTAAGTAAGAGAGGTGGGAATGAAGATAAAGCCACCTGGGGCAGCACTGCTCAAAGAGCAGCAATCACTCAATGAATTACTATGGCAACTGGTAATTCCAAGACCTTGGAATAAGCACTGTTTCCTGTTGGAGTTGCAAGGGGTCTTATCTGTGTCTGTCCTCTCAGCCTGATTACAGGCAGGCTTTTTATTTTTCTTTTTTAGTGAGGGCTTATTATTGTTCTTTCAGACCCAGATATTTCACTCTTTCAGTACTTTAGGTGGGAGACTCTTCGCCCTTATCACAACTCCTAAGATGTCATTTGTTTTCCTTCCTCAAAACACCATAATAACATGTATGTGAAGTAAAGCTGAGTTTCATAGTTTTGCCACGAGGAGAGCATCACCTTGACAAGGGCTCAGAATGGGAAAGCAATCTATTTGCTGAGATGACAGCCAGCAAAGCAGTGTATTGTTTGGATAAATGGATTTTGAGGAAATTCTAGAAGGAAAGAATCATGTTATTTACTGCTTTATAGACTTACCTTCCCAGGCCTGAGTTTCCTGGAATAAATGAGAAATCCTGTTGATGCAGGTGGCTTCTGTTCTCAAGGCTGAGTCGAGCGTGGGAGGGGGCACTTAGTATGTCACTACTGGGCTCCTTTGCCAAAGGCTAACACTGAGCAGCCTCCTGGGAAGTTTGCATACAGGGACCCCTGTTGTAACCAGAGGCCTTGCTGTTCACAGGAAGGGGGGGGCCCTTCTGAGACACAGGTTTTTCTCTCCTCAAGAGGTAATACTACTACCTCACGGGACTGTTGCACTAGATATATAAACTTCTTCACACCACACATTGATGTATTGTGAATGCTCACTAAATTGTTCTTTCTGTTTTATGATCATTAGAAGTAGTACCTACATGGATTGAGGCATCAAAATGATCAGTTAGGAAGTGCCTTGGGTCAGTTATTTGTACTTATTTTCATATCTATCTATCATTTCATATTTATCTATCATTTATTTATTTCATGTTTATCATTTAGTTATTTTCATATTTATCTATCATTTTTTTCCAAAGGGAGAGGCCTAAGCAAGATTCCCTCAGTTTGATTTGGAATACATTAAGACTATCCCACTGATATGTGTCTTTCCATTTTCCTCAGGAAAACCTTGAGAATGGCAGTACCTGGAAACAAGGGGCTGACTCTGTCTTACGAAACGGCCTCAGGCGAGAAAGCCTGGTCCATGTTCCAGGCTATGATCCCAAGGACAAAAACTATGACAACATGGCTTTAGAGAAGATTACCCATTTCTAAGGCAACACACACACGCACACACACGCGCACACACACACACACACACACACACACGACACACACAGCCCACATACTTCTTGCCCATTGGTTAGTAGACTTCTGTACTTGCCCCTGCTAGAAGACAGGGATGTCTAATATGTATTTACACTTATTCAAGACCACAAATAACATGACTGTTCCCAAGAATATTCTGCAGGTTATTCTTTGGAAGACCCCACTTTCAGGTGAGAAAAAACAGCCAAGCGTTAAGTGCCCGGCAACTTCCTTTTTGAATAAACTAGGGCTTGATTTCATCGTAGTGCAAGAATCAGTCTCCTTGCTTTGTGTTATAATAAACTTCAGGGATTTTGTTTGTTGGGTTTTTCTGTAGTTTTTTTAAACCATCAAATATGTTGGAGTTTGCAGGAGGGGAGATGCATATTAAATGCTTCTCTGCCACTGCTGCTAAGACAAGGGAATGGCATCCACCCCAGCACCCCCTTCACATATATGCGAACTCATGTCACATCCCTGCATCCTGCAGGTGCAGTTAGAACACTTAACTGCTTTTTTTGTTTTGTTTTGTTTTGTTTTGTTTTGTTTTGCGGTACGCGGGCCTCTCACTGTTGTGGCCTCTCCCGTTGCGGAGCACAGGCTCCGGACGCGCAGGCTCAGCGGCCATGGCTCACGGGCCCAACCGCTCCGCGGCATGTGGGATCTTCCCGGACCGGGGTATGAACCCTCGTCTCCTGCATCGGCAGGCAGACTCTCAACCACTGCGCCACCAGGGAAGCCCAGAGCACTTAACTGCTTTTGATCCCTCCCCGCAACCCACCCACACACCTTTAAGTCCTCTTCCAGTCATTCTTGCGATTACAGCTGTCCTGACAAAGCCTTGAAATTAATTTTGCTCAGCAAAGGAGAGGCTGGTATGTTTGGTAAGTAGGAGTAATTATAACTAAATACTCTGCTCCCTTTGTGTTTTCAGTGTAGTATTTCTTCTTCCCTTCTAGCACCTTACAATGAAAAATTCAGTCTGTGCTCAATAAGAAGTCTGGAGTCTTTCTCCAGGGCTGGGTAAAGAGGAAAGGTACATCCTATAGGAAGCTGTTAGGACAATATTGTGTAAAAGAACCTTTGCAGATAGCTTACCAGCCCACAGGGGATTTCAGTAGCCCTAGGGTCTTCTTTGGTGCCAAAGGCTTTGTCCACAGGATTTCTACTCTTTTTGTTCAGCTCACACCTGAAAGCTCAATGCATTCCATCAGGCTAAGGTGACAGAAGTAAAGATCTTAGTAGTTGAACTCTAGAAAATAATTGCTAAAGTTCTGGAGTAAGAGGGGACCACAGATCAAGAACTGAATTAATAAATGGAGAGGCAGTGAAAGCTTTTTGAAAGAAGCAAAGAAATAAAATCCTTAAAGGGTAAAAAAGAACCAGTGCCATATGGGCTAGATCAGAGGAAAGATAGTAGGAAACAAACCAATGTCTCAGTGTCAGGTATATTAGGGCAGGTGACAGATATTTATTTTGGTGGCCAGGTAAGATCAAGAGGCCTAGAAAGAATGTGTGTCAGCAAAGTAAGAAGAAATGGTCCAAATAGGCAGGGATAAGGAGTCGCAAAGCCTGGGTGGTTTAAATGTTACCCAGAAGGAGAAAACGTTAAAAGAAGCATGAGATAGGGGAAAAATTTTTATGAAACTGGTGTTTATTAATAGGGAGAGAAGGTAGAAAGAGGGGAAAAACAATCAATAGAGGAATTTAAAAAATAGCTGGAGTTTATAAGCCACAGTCCATTGCTTGCCTTCTCTTCTCCAGTCTCAAAGAGGAGAGGAAATAATAGGAGAGGAAGAGAAAATTGGGCTGTGGTTTACAAGAGAAACAAGAAAAATACATTCTGAAAAAGGAGGAAAGAAGTGAAAAGGGAGTACACTGGGGAAAATACCTGAAAATGAGAAGGAAAAGAATTTCTAAAAACGTTTTTGAGGTCCAGCAAGTTAATGAAGGTATTGATCTAAGTATTTGCAAATTGAGAAGTGTAATTACTTTCCAAATGATTTAGGAGTTAGGACATTTTTATCAATTAGAACTTCAGAAATACATTAGATGAGTGTTGAAATCTGGGCCAAACCTCACTGTCTTGGTCAATATGATAGAGAAGGAAAAAAAAAAAAAAAAACCCTGAGGATAAGAATTAGATTTACAGTAGCTATCTATCTATCTATCTATCTATCTATCTATACATATATATACTATATATATGTATATATGCACTATATATATAGTAGCAATATATATGAAATTTATATATATATATATAGTAGCCATATATATATGAAATTTGGAATACAACTTTCACTTGGAATTCCACAAAACCAAAATGTACCATATAGTTTTTCATTTTACTCACAAATTCTCTCACAAATTTTACTCACAAATTATCCTACAGATATTTCACTAGCTCAGTACTTTCCCAGAAAGTTTTTTGGATATTTTTTCTTTCTCAGTCACTAATTTTTTCACCCGGAGTGTTATCAAAGCATAAAATGACTTGCACATGGAAAAGGGTACTATATTATTATAAAAATACCATGTGATGGAACCTATGGCATTCTGAGGTCACATTTCAGAGCTTTTAGAGGTCAGTATAGGTATCCTGCTTGATTCTTCCTGATTGAACAGATGCAAAATCTAACATTTTAGCTAGAGAGCAGATGGGGATCCACAGGGGAACCATCTTCCAGAGTACGTAGAAACTACATTTGCTGTGTAGTGAAGCAGACGGGAACTACAAGGGCAGAGTCAACAGATTTGCCCAGTCAGTCATAGCACACCTCTCCTCCCTCACTCCTCCCTAGGGATGTCAGCTCAGAGTTGTGTCAAGGCCGCAGGTGCAGTACAAAGTCTGTCCAGGGCTAAGTTCAAAGCCATAAAAATGGGTTAAATTTGTGGTTGGTTTTGTCACAGAGTGAACAGGGATATTTTCAATAAGAGGGGCAATGAATGATGAGCTCCTAGGGTGGCCTAAAATGTGCCAAACTTGATGCCAGTCTCTATCTTTTAAACATACTCACAGATATGGGTAAAAATGGAACAGAATGACCTCAATGCCTCTTTCACTCATTCGGAATGAATTGGTTTTGATGATTGACATTCTCTTTGTCAACATTTGGAGCAAGGAGTACAGCTTATTGACTGAGGTGAGGGATTGGAGTCAAACGGCTTCAGGTTCAAATGTAAGCTCTAACAAAAATTATCTTGGTAATCTTGGGCAAGGCTTTTTGAACTTTAGTTTATTCACAAATTAAAAGGAGCAAAAATTGTCCCTACTTAATAGGATTGTTGTGAGGATTTACAGAGGTAATCGTCTAAAGTAGTTAGCACAGTGACTGACCCGCATGGAACACTCAACTCTTGTTAGTCTGCAGTATATGAAGAAAATGGCATCCATTCCAGTATTCATTTTAAGTTAAATTGGTTCGCTGTTTCCCTTTAAGATTTTCAAGATACTGGTTTAGTATATGCATTACTGAATTAGTTTGAAATTAGAAATAACAAGATAAACATAAAGCATTATATAAATTAAAAATCATGTCACATATTTTCAAACAGTAGCTCTTTTAATGCTGAGTTTAAATAAAATATGATTTTCCAGAGAGTAACTTTTCTAAAGATCTTAAATTCTCGAAAAAAAAAAAAACTACTGTTATAAAGATAGACAAGTTTTATTACTGAAAAGTGCAATATTCATATCTATGATTTAAGTACTACATTTATAAATGTAAACCTTGATAAGTAAACAGCATCTCAACCCAAGTTTGCCACTCCATGCACAGGTAATGGCAACTGTGATTCTCCAAACAACAATGGAAGGGGGAGGACTTTTCCCTTTGTTTAATTCAAATAAATTTTCTTTAATATAAATTTCATTGTTTTGTGATTTTATATGGTTATACCACTTCTTTCTAAAGATAAAAACAAATAAACCACAGACCAGGGGGCTTTGTGAACAGTATTTCAAAGAGAGTATTATTGAAATATTTTTATGGTATTACAATCTTAATTAAACATTATTGCAAAGATCAGATCAGAAAATAGAAAACACAGAGGAGTCTCCCTTTAATTGTTCTTTTAGAAATGAATTCTTTTAAAATACTAGACAGTTTAGCTCTCCTTCTGTACATTTGTCTATTTAGAAATCTCATGGCTCAATCTCAATATTGTAAGGTAAATAAGTTTTCTGTAGAGTTAACCTCTTTTATTCAGCATTAATAACCTTGAAGTATTGATATAATCTATTTTCAAACAAATACAATTTAACTGATATTACCAATGATGTATATTAAAATGATACAAAAATTTAAATTAAGCAAGCGTAACTAGTAATTGATTGTAAATCACCTAATGGGTTATTTTTATTGTAATTCTTGGCAAGAGTTAATGCCATTATTTCCTCCTCCATTCCAATCTCCTGACCAAACCAATCTAGATTTGTAAACACCTATGTGAATAACAAACACTCATAAGCCCAACTTTCTTTTACTGCACTTTTGGTATTTGAAATATCAAGGTATCTTCACAAGACAGATGTAAGGTTATAAATGTTTGGCTACTTAATCACAAAATGGCCCTTACTTGGGATGTCAGTATATCAGTGGCTCTCTCACTATATTCTCATGACAAATTAGAAAAATAATCCTACTCTATAATGGGAAATATTAGTTGATAATGATATTTCTGAACATCAACAGGAAATTTAAGATGATATTTTTGTATTTCCAAAATTGTATGCAGTTTTCTCATAGAGCCCTGGAGTACCACTAAATTTAATACTATATTTATATAACTAGTTAATTTTAGAAAAATGCCTATAGAATAAGTATAGATATATAATTATTTTAATTATTTCTTTTAAAAATAAGTGCAGATTGAAGTGCATTCAAGTGATTAATGTGAATATTCTCTACAGGGTTAGGAGTGGGGTGCAAAATAGTTATTTTTCCTGAAGTCAGGCAGGTCTACCAAGTGA